AGAGGGCAGTGCAGGGGCACAGGCATGGAGACCAGAAGAGCTGGCACAGGGTGAGGGGACCCATCCTGTACTTGGAGCAGGGACACCCCAACGGCATCTTTGGGGGTGATTGCAGTGGTGCCAGTGGAACCCTGGTGACCAGGTGTCCCTGGAGTCAGCCTGCCCCCACCTCCCTAAGGTTCCCACTCCTCAGAGAGGAAACTGAGACTGGAGTGCCCCCCCAAACTAGAAGGGGATCTACCCAGACCTGCCTCTGTCCGAGATGGAGCAGCCTTCTGTTGTGGAACTGGTAGGCTCAGTGGAGTTGAGCACCAATCTTGGGGGGGGCCCAGTGACGGGGTGGGCCTGGGTGTCAGGGTGTCAGGTGGGTTGATGGATCAGGCCCCTGGGAGTGCTGAGGTTGAGGTGAAAACTTCCTGTGTTTGTGATGAACCCTAGCATGAACCCTGGAACACCCTGGAGGCTGAGCTTGGGGCAGAAGACCCCACACACTGTCCCCAGCCCCTCCAGCCCCAGGCAGATTCCTCCTCTGTCCCTTTGGCCAACATGCTGCCCCTTCTGACCCAGCTGGAGATCTGCAATAAGTGTGGGTGCTCGGCCTCTGGGAGAGGAAGGCCTGGTGGGCATCCAGGGACCTTAGGACTCCACGAGACCACTTTGGGGGCAGAGTTTCTTGGAGCAAGACACCTACCCCTGCCCTAGTGAGAGCTGAGCCCTGGGTGGCAGTCTGCATGTGGCCTTCCCTGCGCTGCTCTTGAGTCCTTTGCCTCTTGGATACAGGAGTGACAGGGACAGCCTGTGCCCTCCTGTGAGTGGTGCCTAACTCCCTGGGGCTTCTGAGCCCTTAGCATTGTGTCTTCTTTTTTTTTTTTTTTTTTTTTTGTCTTTTTCATTTTTATCGGTACCGGGGATCGAACTCACGACCGCCTGCTTGCAAGGCAGGTGCTTATGCCGCTGAGCTAAACCCCCAGCCCCAGCATTGTGTCTTCTAGGGCGCTGGCCACGGCCTCCACGTCAGCCTTTCTCTGCTTTGCAGTGTGTAGCCCAGCCCACTGGTCAGTGCCATCTGGAGGCCTCTTTGCCCTGCAGCAGTCCTGGACAGGAAGCAGCTGCAGTCTGCTGGACTTCAGTCCTTTGGCTCCCTCCTTGCATATCTGATGAGCTCTGAGTCACATGTTCAGAGTTCTAAGCTTCAAGGGGTGGACTCGCTCCTGCCACCCACCCAGGGGGTATGGCCTCCTGTGTGGACTGAGCCCATTTTCCATCTGATCATCTGTCCCTGTCTGGGACCCTGGGGATTCAGTGGGCCCTAGGCTCATGGAGGAGGGCTGGAGAAACATATGGTGACACTAGGGGGCAGGGCTGTGGCATGGGCATGGAGATTTTAGAGAGGCTGATGGAGGTCTGGGAGGTTCCCAGATGCAGAGGTGGGTGGAACCCATGGGGAATGAGGTGGTCAAGGCCTGGGGGGATGAGGGTGGAGACTGGGAACAGGAACTCACCAGGCTGTTTCCAGTGGAAGTGATTGAATGGGAAGCACTGGTCCTGCAGGCCCAGGCCAGTAGTGAGCAAGAGCTCTGCAGGTGGGTGGGGCAGGTGTGCTGTGCCGTGCTGGGCTGGGCCAGGCTAGTGACTCTGGGTAGTGGGAACAGGAGGTAGTGAGCCTGGCCTCTGCAGGCTATGCACACCCAGGTAGCCAGCACAGGGAGGAAGGGGCCTGTCCAGCTGCGCATCCCAGAGCTGTCTCCCATGATCGCCTCCAACAAGCATGAGCGGGCCACGTGTCCTCAGGAAAGGACTGAGAGTCCCTGTGTGGATTTGCTTCCTAGGCTGCCCCAACCAAGTTGGGCACGTGGGTTTTAAACAGCTATGGTCTACATTCTCTTGTCCTGGATGCCACAAGTGTAGAGCCAAGGTGTCAGCAGGAGGCCTGCACTCCGGGGCTCTGTGGAGGGCCCTTCCTTGTTAGTCTAGGGCAGGGGGTGGTGATAGCCACCTGTAGCTTCCTTGGCTTAAGGCCACATCACTGGGATATCATTCAGTATTTTGGTGGCCTTTCCCAGGCATGCAGTGTTCTCTTCTGGCTTCTCTGTCATATGAAGGACTAAACCCAGGCCCTTTGCACTTTTTATTTTTTATTTTGAGGCAGGGTCTCAGTAAATTGTCCAGTCCAGGCTGGAACTTGCAATCCTCCTGTCTTGGCCTTCCAGAGTTATAAAATTATGTCTGGTGCCACCACACCCCCACACCCTTCTGTCAGTACCTTTAGGGCCCATCAGGTGAGTCCAGGATGACAGCCATCATAGACTACATCCACAGGTCATGTTCATAGCCCTGGACATGAACATGTCTTTCAGGGGTCTGCTCTTCATTCTACTGGATCCAGTGGCCTCCCTGCCCCCTAAGCCTACCTGCCTGCTGCCCAGGCCCAAGTTTCCAGGCCCTTCAAGCCCTTTTTCAACACACAGTGTGGGGTGCTGATCAGGCCGGCTTCAGGGCAGACGTGAGCCCTCTGAACAGAGCCATTGCAACTGTCTGTTCTGAGAGCTTGAGGTTTTCCTAATGGGTGCCCTCAGCATCCTCTGGCTCAGAGCCCTCCTGAGCCTGGGAGATCCCCAACCTGTATAGCTAGTGCCCCAGGTGCTCCTGCAGGTAGCCAGCAGTGTCAGGCTGACCCGGGAAATCAACTCCAGTCCCAGGCCACCCTTTCCTGACTGTGGGCAAGGGAGCACCTTCCTCTTTGAACCTCCATCTCCTGTGGGTAGAGTGCAAAGCTCAGCTGGACCAGCCTCTGCAGCTGTGAGTGGGGACAAGGCTGTGCTGAGGCCTTCGGTGCCAGGGCAGGGCCTGCAGACAGTGCCTCTGTGCTGGGTGTGCCATGCATCGGGAAGGCTGGGGCTCGAGCCTACTGAGAAAGCTCTCTCTCCTCTTCCCAGCCTGGTGCCCTGTCCCTGAGCTTGGTGGAGCATGGGTCTGGCAGCTGAGCCTGGCAGCCTGAGGCACCAGCCCAGGCAGGGGAGGAACGAAGAGGACACAGCCTGCCTGATGCTGGTGACCTCAGCTGCAACCAGCCACATACATCTCCTTGCTGGGATGTTGGTGGAGGAGTCATTGTCATGGTTACCAGAGCAGCATGAAGGTCACAGAGTCACCATCATGGGGATGTCCTGAATGTCTTCTCTGTTCAAGAACAGGAATGGCAGTGTCATTTGGTGGAGGGGCGCCAGGGCACAGGAGAGAAACTGAGGCTTAGAGCCAAGGGGCCTGCAGAGGGTTACACAGTAGCCCCAGACCCCCAAAAGCTGTGGTCAGGGAAGTCCAGCCTGGGGACCTGGTGCAGTCGTTGTTCTCCTCTGGGTTGTGACTCCTGCAGTGTCCCAGGCTGCCCCGGGGTAGGACCTACCCTGCTGGCTGCACTTATGCTGGTTCATGCATATGGACCCTGGAGGAATGAGCAGGCTGGTCTAACTCCTGCCTGGCCCTCAGCTTCGTCCATACTGCCACGTGCGGTGAGGGGGCACTACCTGAGCCTGGCTACCTGATGGACTCCAGTTCTGGGGTCCCTGCCCCAGGCTCCCAGGCCCTGGCTGCCTCCCGCAGCTCACCCCAGGCCATCTCCATGATGACTGCCCCATCTTTGTTTAGTGAACTGTTCCCCATCTGCCCACTCTGGACCCCTCTGTAGTCCAGCACTCATGGGGCTTGGCACCCTTGCCAGAGCCCGCAGTCCCTGTCCCAACTGTCTGTGCTCTGCCATCAGGGCCTCCACTCATGCTCTTAACCTTGTTAGGGAGGGGAATGGGAAGAGGCCCCAGATGAGTTCCCCTTGGTGCCACCTGTCTGTCTGCCTGCCTGCTGTGCCCAGCTTTTTCCTGAAGGCATGGCTGCCACTGACCATCCCAGAACATTGAGACTGGCACAGGCTGGGAAGTACAGGGCCAGTGCCCACCCCAAGGACACCCCACGTACCCAGCTCAGGCTTCCAGGCCTCTAGGAAGCAGTGGGGTCTGCAGCCTAAACAGGATGCTTGGCAGCAGGACGCTGGGGACAGGAACACAGCATGGGAGTTACCTTTGTCCCAAGCCCTAACAGCCAGGCCTGTGGTTGGGTACCCCAAGAGCCATCTGTGGGGGTGGCCTGCAGGGCCATCAGGATAGGGCCCACAGGCAGAGGTGGAGCTGACACCAGGTAGCCAGGGAATCTGGTGTACCAGGAAGACCCTGCAGTTCCCAGAGCCTGTGGTCTGTGGCCTCCACCACTCTCAAGCTCTCCTTTTTGCAGCTGCCTCCTGCCTGGGTACCATCCATATTGGGATGGAGGGCGGGGTGGGGACACCAGCGCTGTATGATGCCGTCCCTGTCCCCCCAGCTTCCTGATGGGGCCTAACTGGGGAAGGAAGCTAGGCTTGAGGGACACAGCAGCCCATAAAGGCCGAGTTCTGCAGGGGGCCCCAGAGCAAGGGCCTGAGGTGATGCTTTGCCAACGAGGCCACAACACACTTTCCAGCAAGCCAGGTGGTCACGGGGCTGGCAAGGGGTGGGGACACAGAGGGCTGCGGGGTGTGGCAGTGCACCCACGTTCTTGCCTGGCTCCGCTGTCTCTTGGGGTCACAGGGCACCCAGGTGGCCACCATAGGAGCCACAGGTCCCCAGTGCAAGAGGCTTGGCTCTCTGTGTAGTTCAGAGGGCAGAGCTGGCAGCCACATCCCCAGGGGAAATAGTGACTTCCTATATGGTGTCAGCAGTAGTTCTGTGCTAAGCCCCACGTGCTCGGCCCTGAGGGAAAAGTGACCAGTGCCCCAGCAAGGAGCTTCCTAGGAGTGGGCAGTAGCTGGCCTCAGAGCCTCCAGCCAGAGCTGTGGGGGTCAGCAGCAGGGGGGTAGGCCCACAGCCTGTAGGCTGAGCAGCCTGAGAGGGGCAGCCCTTGGCCCCAGCTGGCTTCCGGGAACTCTAGGGTGGAAGGGAGGAAGTGCTGCTCCTCAGGCTGCACTAACAGGAAGTCCTGTCGGGGAGGAAGTCCTGGTGGCCACAGGCTACAGATGCAGCAATACTGAGTGTGGCACGCCGCATGGGAGCTGGCTGGGCCTGACCTCCTTGCCTGGGGGATGCCTGCTGTGAGCCGTCGCCATGGCTCCTGAGCCACATGGCCTCCCTGGGTCCCAGGACTTCAGCCCCCCGTAGGCTTTCGAGCCAGAGAGCCATGTGCTGGGTCAGCACCATCAGGTCAGTGGGTGGGGCACCTGCAAGACCACTAGACGGGGTAGTGGTGACAGGGCTCCTGGGAACCAGGCCCAGGTCCAGGAGAAGTGGCAGGCTGTGGCTTCTGCAGGGCTTGAGAGTCCACAGGGATGCCCATAGAGGGCCTGCAGTGTAGGAGGCACCCAGGTCACTGAGCTGCCTCTCTCATGTCCTGCCTGGTGGCCTTGGGGTCTGGGCTCTGTGTGTATTTGTTGCATGAGTTCCAGGGTGTGTTGGGAGGGAGCTGGGTGAAGTCTCTGCTCCCCAGGCAGAAGTGCTGAGCTCGGGGACCTGCCAGTAGGGGCTGTCCTCCTGAAAGGCAGGCTGGACACCTTCTCCTGGCCCCAAGGGGACCCCTCTCCTGGTTTGTGCTTTTTTTATGTTTTATTTTTCTGTGTTGAGTTATTTGCGCTGAGCTGCATCTCCAGCCGTTTTGATTTTGAGACAAGGTCTTGTCAAGTCATGAAGTTTCCTATGATGGGTTTAAATTTGAGACTCTTCCTTCCCAGAGTGCTGGGATAAGGGATATGCACCACCACATCCAGTGTCACTGGGACTTTCTAGGAGACTTTGGTTTTGATTCTTTCACAGAGAGCATTTCTGGGAAGAGGAAGGAGGGGGCGGGAACAAAAGGAAAGGGCTGTGAGGCCATTTGGGGAACACCTTATCTGCAAGTCCCCAAGCACACCGCCACTGTGTGCCAGGAGGGGAAGTGGTGAGTGGTGCAGGGGCAGGGTGGCAGGTTCGTCACCAGCTACTAGACATCTGGCTTGGGGGCTGCCCGGTTGCTCTGGTTCTCAGGGACCTCAGCAGTGGTGTGGGGACGACTGGTGGTCTGAGGCGCTAGGGGTCCTGAGGGGCTCAGAGCCAAGCTGGGGAGAGCACCAGGGTGACAGGCCCCGAGCCCACCAGCCCAGGGTCCTAGTGTGAAGTGTAGGTGAAGCCCAGACACCACGCCGGGCCTGAGGTCCAGAGGGAGATGCTGGGGACCACATGTATAGTCTGCTCACCCATGGGGCTCAGGCAGTACATGTGAGTGTGCAAGTATGTAGATGAGTGTGTGCACTCATGTGCCTGTGTGCATTTGTGTACATGGGCATGAGTGTGCACAAATGAAGGCATATGTAAGTAGGTGAGTAGAGCGTGTACACAAGTGCCCACGTGTGGACGTATGAATGTGTGGGGCATGGATGAGACAGGGTGTCTGAATGTGGATGACCTCTCCCTGGGGGCCAGAACCTCAAGCTTAACCTTGGCCTGTGCTGCATACCAACCCAAGTCCCTGACACTGGTCACCCGAGGAGCTGCTCCCCATCACAGCTGGGCCACATCTGCAGGTATCTTGGGCTGCAGAGCCTGCCTGCCCCTTCACACACATGCACACGCCACTGCATGCAAGTCACTTGCTCTCGTGTGGGTGTTGAGGGTGTGCCTTGTGGTGCGGACCACCGTCCCTTCCTGGCTCAGGGGCCCAGGTGGCGAAAGCCACACAGCCTGCAGTTAGTGGGGCCAGTGAGGCTGTCTAGGGACAGAGCTATTTCCTCTTGCTGCTCTGCTCAGGGTCACCTGAGCCAACAGCATGGACTCAGAAATAGTAGGGAGAGGGGTGGGAGTAAATATAGGTACCCAAAGCATGCTGCCTGCCCTGGTGCATGCATGCGCGTACACACATACAGGGACACAGAGGCTCCTGCGCACATCCATACACGTGCACACAGATCACTTGCATCTTGGAATAGCTCTCAGGACCCTGTGGCCACCCCAGCCCCAGCTACCCGAACACTGGCCCTGCCTGGGCCGCTGCCCCAGCTACAGGGAAAAGGGTGCACTACACAGCAAGTTGGGAAGTGAGTCCCAGTTCTGCTGCTGGCTGCTGGGTTGCTTGGCCCCTTCCCACGAGGCACGGTGTTGTGGGGTGTCTGGACTTCAGCAGGGGACTCCGTGGCACCCTGTCTACACCATAGGAGGCAGGACTTGGGTCCCCACCACTCTCCCTGCTGATCCCCACCACAGTGGATGAGTGTCAGCCCAAGCTGGCGGGAAGGTCTGAAGGGGCACCCAGGATTAAAGAGTAGTACTAAACCACCAGGTCCCTGGGCAGAGGCTCCCTGGCCCCACCGGGAGACCGCAGGGCAGCTGGCAGGCAGCACCCTGAGGCTCCCACAGCCTTCCCAGTCGCACCAGCGCAGCTGGCATCTGTGAGCTGGGCACAAGTCCCCAAGTTGTGAGGTCACTGTGGCTGGGGCTGCCCTCCCCTCTGTCCATTTCCCCTTTCCACTGCAGCCTGGCCTGGCCCTGGGCTCTGGGCAGGCCCCCCTCTGGCTCATCCACGGCTGTGGGACACCAAGGCAGGCCTTTCCCCTGGACACAGCTGTGACTCCAAACTGTAAGAGGAACATTTCCAGAGGAGGAGATTCTGTCCCTCACCCTGCCCCTCAGGGCCAACAGAGAAAGGACGGTTGCATTCTCTGTGGGGACACAGGACTCTGGAGCACTGGGACTACCTGGGAGTGGGGCTGCCTGAACTGATGACTATTTCCTGTCCACAAACACAGTTGATCTTTCTGTGCTGATCTCATAGCCTCTTCCTTGCACAACGCATTCATTAGTTCTAATAATTTTTTTAGTGGATTCTGTGGCATTTTCTCTACAGAAAATGTAGAGGTGCAAGTGCGCACCTTAAAATGCCAGCACTCTGGAAGGCTGAGGCAGGGTGATTGCAAGTTCAAATCCAACCTGGGCAACTGACTTAGTGAGACTCCATCTCAAAATACAAAATAAAAAAGGTCTGTAGCCATAGCTCAGGGCAGAGGCCCTGGGTTCAGTCCCCAATTCTGCAAACAAAAACAAAAAACAGAACTATGAATTCTTTCTCTCCTTATTCCATCCTTTCCAGTCTTGATACTTTCTACTAACTGCCTGATTATGTGGCCAGTTCCACGGTGCGGGGCTGAGTGGGCACAGGTGTCCTTGCCTGGCACCATGTGGGACAAAGTGTCCTGTCCTGCCCTGAGCTGGGTCACAGGCGCCCTCATGGGTGGACAAGTTCTCTTCCAGAGGGTGGCGTGCTGCTGTTATGAAAGATCATGGGATTTGGTCAAATGCTTTCTCTGCACCTCTTGGGAGGTTCGTGTGGTTTTTGTTGTTTTATCAGTGTGGTGGCTGATGTTACTTGCATTTAAATTTTTTTTGCTTATTAAATGCAATTTAATAAAGATAAGAATCTTTTTTTAAATAAGAATCATTTCATCTTTTTTTTTTTTGTCTTTTTCCTTTTTATCGGTATCGGGGATCGAACTCATGACTGCCTGCTTGCAAGGTAGACACTTATGCCACTGAGCTAAATCCCCAACCCTGAATCATTTCATCTTGACTGAAAAAATACACCACCTATTAGCACATCACTTCGCAGAGAATCTCCTAGAGCTTTCATGAAATTAAAGGGCTTCATAACCTATGAAGGAAAAGGATATTTTCATCTTTTTTTTAATTAAAAAAAAAAGATTAAGATAAAAGAGGATATAACAACACAGGTCAGAACAGAACAACTTAAGCCACATAGTGTTTCACCACAAGACAGTCTGACATAACAGTAGCTCCCATAGTGTCTCTTTCCTTGAAATATTTGAGTATACCTTCATATACTCTAGTATCAAACATAACAAGACAGTATAAAACCTTTCAAGAGAATGAAAGTATTACAGGGTATTTAGAACCAACTAACTGAGAACGAACAATGGTTATTATCTCCTTGTCTATAAAAAATTTTGCTTATACCATCACATATAATAAAATCCATTAAAATACAACATGATAAAACCGATGGAGACAGAAAAACAAAAGCTTAGTGGGACTTCAATACAAGATGATATTAAATCAGCACTAGCTATTATAATGTCTTGTTTTCTTCAAAATAGCTATTCGGGGTTGGGGATTTAGCTCAGCAGCATAAGCGCTTGCCTTGAAAGCAAGCAGTCGTGAGTTTGATCCCCGGTATCAATAAAAAGGAAAAAGACCAAACAAACAAAAAAACCAAAATAGCTATTCATATCATTGCAGACAATAAAATCAAACAACCCAGAATAAAACCATTCCACTTAATGAATGAAAACATTATAAGGCTTCAGAGCAATTTAATGGGAAATCGTGATTATCACATACTTTCATGTATTCTTACCATTTCTTACACTAGGGAAACTATTTGGTATTTATACATGTGAGTTTGATTTATTTTGCTTATGAGTATGGCCTCAAGCTACGTCCATTTATTTACAAATATCTCAATGTGATCATTCTTAATAGCTGAGTATATAAAAATTGTATAAAAATACTGCAACTTTGCATTTGAATATTAAACTGACCTTGAGTGGCTGGGATTAATCCTAGCAGGATTAAAGACATGGAGAATCCTTTCTCTGTATTGCTGGATTCAGGGCTGGACTTGGGTTAAATTTGTGTCTAATCCACAAAAGATTTTTTAAAAATTTGCTTTTCAATTACTGCTGTCGGGGAATATGTGTATGTGTGCATAATGTTAGGAAAAACTAAGGTACATGCTCAACAGGACCGGTATATTTCAGAACAGACCTGACCTGGACCGCCTGCCCTGATACCAGACTGGGCACCCTTACAGGCCGCGGGGTCTGTGTAGGGTCATAAAGGGGATGCAGTGACGGCAAAAGTGCAAGGGAGGGGAGAGCTCAGTGGAGAGGAGTTGTGGCTATGCCGGGGTGAGGCCAGGAGGGGCAGGGAGTGGTGGCTGCCTGTGGGCAGGGCTGAGAAGTGATGAGTGGCAGCGGGGCGTGGTCCCTGGGCCTTGTTAACTGTGACCTGCATTTTCAGCAGGTGTGAAAGCTCTCAGGTGGAGCAGGCCTCAGCCTCGAGGCCTAGCAAGGCACGGCCAGACTCCTCCCCACCACGGTTTGTGTGTTTTTACCGATGCTTTCCATCCCCTCCCTCACCCTTCCTGCTGTCCCGACCCCTTCCTATTTGAGGACCATCTCTCCCCTACTTCCTGCCTCCTGCTTTTCCAGGTTTCTCATGTAAGAGAAACCATACACTACTTGTGCTTGCATGTGATTTGTTCACTGAACATTGTTCTCCAACTGCATCCATTTTCGCACAAAGGACTCGAGTTTCTCCTCCTCGGTGGCACTGTGATACTCCATGGTGTCTGGGCACCACATTTCCTTCAGTGTCTGTCTGCTGAGGGACGCAGACTTCGTCCACGATCATCTAGTCGTTCGGGCGGTGCTGCTATAAACCCGAGTGTGCATGGTCGCTGTGACGTAAGAGATATGGCTCTGCGGTTCTCCTTGCCCTGCCTTCCTGGTTTGGGATGGGGTGATGTGGACTGCATGGCAGGAGTCCCTCTGCTGCTCCCTGGAAGAGTTTGTGAGGGGCCAGCGTTGCAATGAGGCCGCTGAGCACAGTGGGTTGAGGCCTGAGGGCGGGTTCTTGTGGGAGCTGAGAGCTGTGAGCTGAGAGCTGTGAGGAGGACTGGGTGGGCTGCGGAGGGGCAGCCTGGGGGCCCGGAGTGCACCCTGGGGGGTGCACTGGCAATGCAGTGGGGCCAGAGCCTGGGAATAGGGAGACAGCAGACACCAGGCAGGTGCGGTAGGGGAGGCCCCGGGGTGGGCAGCTGGGCAGGACACTGTGGGGCTCCTACCGCACTCCACTGTGGCCCGCCCTGGGAGCAGCCTGCCTGCCAGCGGGAGAGGGAGGAAGTCGGCGCTGAGAGCCAGCCTGGGGATGCTCAGGGCCTGCGGAGGACCCTGATTGCTTGGGAGGCTGGGGTGACACTGGCAGGGTGGTGCGAGCCTGGGGCTGTGCGGGTTCACAGCGGTGCGCAATTAGCCTGGGCGGGTGGGGCAGCAGAGAGGGATCATCCCGGCTTCTCGGCAGGATCCCAGGTTTTGGGGTGCAGCCGGGGTGCCCCTAGGGCATCGGTGACTCCTTGACTCGGAAGCTGCACTCCTACATGTGGGCTGTCTCCCAAAGGTAGGGGGGCGGGCACCAAAGCGGAGGGGCGGTGCCAAGTGACGTGGGGGGGCGGGACCCTCACCTGCCCGCAAGGGGAGGAGCCAAGGTGGGGACCCGAGGCGGCGGCATGGCGGGCGCAGGGTCTCGGCCGCGGAGCTGGGCCTGCCGTGAGGGGAACGAGGCGGCCATCGGGGGTCTGGGCGCCGCACCATGTCGCTGCTCGCGGGGGACAAGGGTGCTCACTGCTGCTTCCCGGAAGCCGGCGCCTGCCACATGGATGCCGTGAGTGTGAGCCTGGTCTCGATCGCTGGATGAGGACCTGGCTCTGGGCCCTGGATTCCCAGCCTGTGTCACCAAACCTGATCCCGGACCCCACACCCCCAAGGTGCCAGGGCTGGCTCCCAGCCGCAGGATCACACCGGAGACCCCGAGTCGCGGGCCCCAAGTGCGGCTGTGGGAACAAAGGCGGGCGTGGACCTGGGTCTGGGGGCTCTAGGCCTGGCAGAGCTACTTGTGGCCAGTGCAGACCCGCAGTGGGCTGGGCAGGGCGCGGGGGTGTGGCCACGCCTTTGTCTCAAACCTTGGCTGGTGTAGGAAACCCTGTCCTGCCTGAGTCACTGCCTAAAGAGGGCTTTGCCTTAGTGCAGAGGAAGCCGGCAGGGGCCCCAGCGCAGGACAACCTTGGCACAATCTTGGACCTTGGGTCGACCTGCCTTGTGCACTCTGAGTGTTGTAGGGTGTGTTTCCCTGGACTGGAGCTGTAGTGGCTGGAACCCTGGTATCCTGGACCTGGGGGTCCACCCCACTACTCTGCCTTCCTCCGGTCACTCTGGTCAGCGTCAGGACTCGCAGCACAGTAGAGAGGACCCCAGATGTGACTGGAAGTTGGGGCTCCTCATATCAGAGGGTACCCATACTCAGGAAGCTCTGCATGCAGGCAGTCAGGTGGGGTAGGAGGACCCTGCACCTCTGGAATGGCCACTTTTGCTTGTGACCCCAACCCCACTAATCCGGGAAACCCTCCTGGCTTCCTTCCTGGGCCAGTCTGCCTTGCAGAGCGTTGGGTTTGGAACAATGACCTTAGCGTAAGACCTGACTCACTCCACACAGGGTTTCATTTGTAGCCCAATGCTCATGGGGCCAGGTGTTCAATGGACCAGTGACAATAAAGTGACACAGCTGCCGCACTCAGGGTCAGGTGTCCCAGGGAGCCAGGCTCTGACCACCAGACCAGTGGCCCTGTCCCTATGGAGTCTCTTCAGAAAGGCATCCCCTCCCCTCATTGTTGTGACCCTGCTGGAGCATGGCAGTGCCCCAAGGTGTCCCTGGCTGAGCCACCCTCTGTCCCCACCCTGCCTGAGCCACGTCCTTCCTCTCTGACTACAGCTTCATGGCGGCTGAAGAAATGCACTGGCCAGTCCCCATGAAGGCCATCGGTGCCCAGAACCTGCTGACCATGCCCGGGGGTGTGGCCAAGGCTGGCTACCTGCACAAGAAGGGGGGTACCCAGCTGCAGCTGCTCAAATGTGAGTCCTAGGGTATGAGGACAGCTAAGGGTGGGTGGAGGGACCCTGACCCACGTCCCCACTGTGCTGCGGCCCACCAGGCAGGCACACAGCTCTGCTTTCTCCCATGGTGGGCCTTAGATTCCCTTGCTTCTCTAGAGGTTGGCACCCAGGATTGTGACAGGGCCAGGGTGCTGTACCTGGACTATAGGACAGGATCTGGTACCCGGGACTGTCCTTGTCTTACCTGACTGTGGCCAGTGAGCAGTTGGTCACTCAGTTCATGGGTAGGCCATGTGTCGAGTCAGGGGCCAGCGGGATGTGAGGACAGCACTTTGGGAGGGCAGGGCACAGGCCCAGGAGGCCCTGAGACACAGAGCGCCAGAGCCTTGTCCACCCTAGTGGTAGCCACAGGTGTGCTACCTGAGACTCCCTGGCCCTACAAGGCCTGGCTGAGGTGTGCAAGCTGCCAGCGTCTGCGTGGGCACCAATTAGATGGGGAACTGTCGGGGGGCTGCTAGGGCTGGGCATCCTTGGCGTGACCGCTGGCCTGGAGTTGACATCCTTGCCAACTGTCCTGGCTCTGCCAGCCTGGGTCAGGGGAGTGGCCAGTGGCCCTTCAGCTCCAGTGCCGGGCCTGGCTCAGCCCTTTCACATGGTAACACTGAGAGCACCCCTTCCCCTGGGTGACTAGGCCTGCCTTGGGGTGCCCTGGGGTGATCAGCGTGCCTGTGAATGTGTCCCCTTTGGGACCCTGGGAGGACCAAAGCTGGCCTGGCCTTGTTGTCTTTGGGACTCGGGGTGGGTCTCCCCAACCAGCCTGCCTCTGCCCCGTCCCCAGGGCCACTGCGCTTCGTCATCATCCACAAGCGCTGCATCTACTACTTTAAGAGCAGCACATCCGCGTCCCCGCAGGGCGCCTTCTCCCTCAACGGATACAACCGGTGAGTGGCTGCTGGCTGCGCAGCCAGGAGGGTTGTCTCAGCTGTCCTGATGCCTCTGTCCCCTGTGCCCCTCGCTTGGCCTTTGTGGTGACCTCACCTCTCCCACCTGCTCTGCTCCTTCCCCACCATGGCCTCTCCAGGGAGCTCAGACCTCAGCCCAGGCCCTGCCTGGTCACCCCAGCTCCAGGTCTCCCCTGCTGCAGGTCCCTCCTGAGAGCAGCCTTGAAGGGCTTCCGGACCAAGGGACAGGCCAGCCCAGGGCCAGAGTTACTGGGCAAGGGGCAGCTGGCATTGTGAGGCTTGGCCCTGTGCCTCCCACCTCCCAGGAGGGGCCCAGCACCTCCCACCTATGAGGACCAGAGGCCAGAGCATCAGTGCAGGCCCAGTGCTCCCTCCAGCGGTTACCACTCGAGGCGCTGGCTTCCATGCTGGCTGTCCTTGGTGGGGCACCTTACGGAAGAAGCCAGCCCAGTGCAGGCCTTGGGTCCCACCTTGGGGTGCTGGCCAAGGCAGGGAAGGGTCCTGAGGGCCCCATCTGCAGCCCTGTGGAATCATTCTCGTACCTGGCCTGTATCAGCCACTCCTGAACTTGGCCCAGCAGCAAAAGCAGTGACAGGGATGGTCCCGATTGCCCACCTCCCCTTGCTCTGCCAGGGATGGGTATGAGGCTCTCCCTGTAAGTGGGGACCAGGAGTGACCCTGTGCCCTTAGGGTGATGCGGGCAGCCGAGGAGACAACATCCAACAACGTCTTCCCCTTCAAGATCATCCACATCAGCAAGAAGCACCGCACATGGTTTTTCTCTGCCTCCTCAGAGGATGAGCGCAAGGTGAGCCAGAGCCGGTCAGGGCGTCCACTCCGATGCTGCCAAGGAGAGTCCCCGTGGGTGAGAGGTGGGCCACATGGCCTTGCTGGACCTGGCAGGCTCAGCCCGAGCCTGATAATCACTGCAGAGCACTGGGCAGGGCAGGGTGGAGGGCAAAGGAGGTCCTGCTCTGGCGGCACTGTGCCCACTTCATGCCACCTGTACCCCCGCACCCTGATGAACCACAGAGCTGGATGGCCTTGCTGCGCCGGGAGATCGGCCACTTCCACGAGAAGAGGGAGCTGCCTCTGGACACCAGGTGGGCTGGGGTGTGAGAGGCTGGTGGCAGTCCCTGGGGTCCTGCACCCAATGTGTGTATCTCCAACCTCTGGGGGTGTGGCCCAGTGTCCCCTCCCAGGGCTTCTCCGGAGTTGCCATGCAGATTCCTTGTGTGCAACAGCGTGTACCACATGTGCAAGCCCACATGTGTGCAAGCCTGTGTGTGTGCATCTGTTCCTGGCTGCTGTCCCACCTGGCTCTGTCCCCGTGCTGTCCTCTGAAAGCCCATGTGTTGATGTCACTGTTTCTGACACCCTGCTGGTGAGCCTCACTTTGTCAGCAGCTCATGTCCCCAGCAGCCTCTGCTCTGAGATGGCTCAGAGCTTTGGGAGTGTTGGGGACCAGTAAACTGTCCCACATTTTCATAGTCAGGAAACTGAGGCCCAGTTAGGGTTATGGGTGAGGGTTAGTGTCAGCCTCAGTCCAGGCTGGTGGCCTGGGACAGCCCAGAGTTGACTGAGCTGTCTTTGTGGGGCAGGGGACACAAGAGCCCAGTGCTGAGCCTCTGGCCAGGTGCAGTGGCACCTGGCATGTGATCCCCAGAGCCTATGACTCCACATGCGTCCAGGTCCCTGTGTGCTGCGTCTGCCAGTGAGCTTGGGTGCATGAGTCTGTGTGCCTGTCTGTGTGTACCTTAAGTGTGTGTCCATGTGTCTGTGGAAATGTGCCATGTACACGTGTGTGTCCCCATGTGCGAGCACTGAGGCCCTGTGTCACCACCTGCCCTTGTCACTTTCTGCCCATCAGCGACTCCGGCTCAGATGCAGACAGTTTCTATGGTGCAGTGGAGCGGCCTGTGGACATCAGCCTCTCCCCGTACCCCACAGACAACGAAGGTGAGGCCGGCACCCGCCCCACTGCCCCACCTGCCCAGTGGAGCTGTGCCCACGCTGTCCTCTGGCAGAGGGACAGTGGCCTCCCCATTGGCTTCCATGGCCTGGTTGCTGGGCTCGAGCCCAGTGGCCTTTCCCCAACCTGTACCCCTGGCCCTGCCTCGTGCATAGAGCACTGTGCTGAGGCATGGCGGCTGCCACCCTGTCCTGCATGCCACCTTGGGCGTCAGCCTCCTTTCTCTCCCCAGACTATGAGCATGAGGACGAGGATGACTCCTACTTGGAGCCCGACTCCCCTGAGCCTGTGAAGCTGGATGGTAGGTGGAGCTGATGGACCTGGGGAGGTCTCTCAAAGGGGAGGTTGGGTGGGGGTTCAGTTTCCTTGCTGGGACCCAAGTATTAAGAGGTTCAGAGCCAAGAGTGGTGGTGCACGTCCGAGGTCCTAGCAGTCTAGGAGGCTGAGGCATGGGGATCCCAAGTCCAGTTTAGGTGACAGCATTTTTTTTTTTTTTTTTTTTTTGGTGACAGCATTTTTGAGACTCTGTCTCAAAATTAAAAATATAAAGGGCTGGGGATGTGGCTCAATGTGAGCACTGTGGGTTCAATCTCTGGTACTACTGAAAAGAAAAAAGAAAGCAGATGTCAGGAGCACCTGCTGCTCCGTGGCTGCCACGCAGGAGGGAATACAGCTTCGGGTAGCCTGTCACCTGTTGCCCCATGCGCAGTCAACATGTGGTGCCAGGTGGTGCCAAGCACATCTCTGTCCTGGACTCTGCCCCTCCTCCTCTCTGGTGACCTCCCTGTCCCCTCTGCTACTTGCTCCACATTGGAGCCTGGCCCATGGTCCTCCAGCCCCCAACTCCTCTGCCCACTGCCCTTGCTTGCCTCCTGGACATCTCACAGCAATTTCAGCCCATTATGAGCAAGCCCTGGCCATCCTTTCCCTCCCACCCACTGCTGCCTGGCCTGCAACACTCTTCTCATCCGGCTGAGCCACCCCGGGGCACAGTGGCCGCGCATATTGGCACCTGGGTTTCAGGAAGCTTGAGTGGCTGACCTGTGACCGAGGAACAGGCAGGAGACTGGGCTTGGCGGGGAGCAGGTGAGGCCTGCTGTTCCCAGCAGAGGTGGTCACGCTGCCCTCCGCCCATGCTCTGCAGACTCCCTGACTCACCCGCCAGCCTACCCGCCACCTCCAGTGCCCATGGCCCGGAAGCCCGCCTTCTCCGACCTGCCCCGAGCTCACTCCTTCAACTCCAAGGGCCCAGGCCCACTGCTGCCGCCCCCACCCCCAAAGCGTGGCCTCGCTGACACCAGTGCAGCCACTGACGACACCAAGAGGGACCTGTTGGGCCTGAGGTGGGCCGAGGCTGGCCTCAGGGTACCCACCACTTCCCGGAGGATGAGCGACCCCCCACTCACCAGCCTGCCTGCTGGGCCCAGCCTGTGGAAACCCCCATGCTTCCGAGAGGGCACCAGCCCCAGCCCTGAGCCATGGACACCTGGCCAGGGGGCCAGCACTACCTCCAGCTGTGCCAGCACAGCCTCTACCACCTCCAGGAACTGTGACAAGCTCAAATCCTTACACCTGTCCCCTCGGGGGCCTCCCACATCCGAGCCCCCGCCTGTGCCAGCCAATAAGCCCAAGTTCCCGAAGATAGCAGAAGAGGCCCCCAAGCGGGAGGCGGCCAAGCCTGGACTCTTCGTGCCCCCTGTGGCACCCAGGCCTCCTGCGCTGAAGCTGCCCTGCCCTGACACTGCTTCTCGGCCTGCAGTGCTGCCCCAGCAGGAGAAGCCTTCTCTACCCCACCTCCAGTAAGTGTGGGTACAGTGGTGCCCACCTCCCTACCCCAGGTACCCTCCTGGTCTGGCCTGCTTTCTGGCTGATACCCTACTGCCCATATTTGCATCCAAGCCTCAAAAAGGTGGGAGGGTTCCCTGGTGACCCCCGGCCTGCCTCGGGGATGGCGGTGCTGAAGGGTTGCCCTGTGGCACATCTGGTGGCCTGGACCCCTCAGGAGTGGCCTTAGGGATGCCAGCCTCCTGGAACCCAGGATGGACAAGGCGGGAAGAGGGAGGGGTGACAGCCCGAGCTGCATCTGCAGGCCCTGGCACTCAAAGGCCGTCCCAGCCCTGAATGGGGGCTGCTGTCTGGGCTGCTGAAGCCACCTTTGTGCTCCTCCTGGGGTAAATGGCAGGAATGTGGCCCAGGCCGTGACTGAGCCCCAGGCCTGGTCAGGGCTTCCTGCTCTATTGGGAGCTGGTGCCAGGAACCCCAGGGTGGGTGTCCTCCATTCCTCCTGGTCACCTGTCCCAGGGCTCTATCAGAGTCTCTGAGCCCCTACTGCTGACAGGAAGGGCTGGGAGCAGTGCGCCATGTTGTTGTTCACAAGGCAGCCCTGCTGTCACTTTGCCAGTCCTGGGTCACGCAGATGCTGAGGGCACTCGGCAGGCGCAGCCTCATCCGTGGCCAGCTCCTGACTGAGAAGGGTGACAGCTCCCGGGTCTGCTCTCCGTGACTCTAGGTGTCAGCTGTCCTCTGGGGGGACCCTTGTCAGCATCTGTGGCAGCCCAGGCCTCCTCCTCCTTGGGCTCCTGGGCCTTGGCCAGTTGATTCCCCCTGGTCAGGGACCAGGGCTTAGCGCTGTTGCCCTGAGGATGCCCTGGATTTGGCGCCCAGCTGGTGGCAGCCACGTATGCAGGGAGCAGAGGTGGTTGGTCCAGTCTGAGGGTAACGTGGACTGCCTTCCTCCCTTCACCTCCTAGGCGGTCGCCCCCTGATGGGCAGAGTTTCAGGAGCTTCTCCTTTGAAAAGGCCCGGCAACCCTCACAGGCCGACTCCAGCAAGGAGGACTCAGACGAGGACTATGAGAAGGCAAGGCTGAGCCAGGAGGCCTGGGCCCAAGTGGGGTGGCAAGCGCTGGGGTGGTGGTATTGGAGGTGGTCACCAGCACCGATGGCTGCTGTGCTCTTCCAGGTGCCCCTGCCCAGCTCGGTTTTCGTCAACACCACGGAATCCTGTGAGGTGGAGAGGTGGGTGCCAAGCCCTCTGGTGCCCGTGGGATGGGGTGGGGGGCTGAGTTCCTGCTTCTCTGGCCGCCAGCTTGGTGGTGAGTGGTCTCTGCCCTGGGCACATGGCCCCTGATGAGGCTGGGCAGCCTGACCACCCTCCCACTCCATCTGGAGTGCAGAAGGTCCAGGGGGTGGGGCGGGAGGCCTGGAGCATCCAGGACATTCACATCCACGCGGCTGCTCGGTTTCAGGCTGTTCAAAGCTGCCGCCCCTCAGGGGGAGCCCCAGGATGGGCTGTACTGCATCCGGAACTCTTCCACCAAGTTGGGCAAGGTAGGAGCGTGCTAGCCGTGCGCACACAGCTGAGGGCTGGAACAGGCAGGGCCACAGTCTGTGGCTCCCTACTCCTCGTGGTGGCTTCCTCTGCACCTTAGCCCTTGTGAGCTTCAGCCACGCCCCTTGGCAGTCCCCCTCTCTCCTCTTATGAATAAGAAGCCACCTGAACACTGAGAGGCTCTCAGTGGGGAACAGAAACGGAGGGCTGGGTGCCAGAACTCTGGAGTGGGGCTGGTACACTCTGAGACAGGGAAGGGAGTGGCAGGAGGTTGGCCAGCACTGCCCAGGTCCCTCCAGGTGTGACCTCAAGGAAGCCAGGCCTTCTTAGTGTCAGAGGTGGCCATGGAATCTGCCGCTCAGGTCCTGTCAGAGCTCTCCCGTGGCAACACTTGCTAGCAGGGTCTGCACCCCCCTCACTCTGCCTAAGACCCCCCAGCCCAGCCTGGTGCCCCCATGCCCTTGGACTCCTGAGGTTGGCCCTGTGGCCTCTCAGCCCAGCTGTCTGCTTCACGCTTCTCTCCCTGTAGGTGCTGGTTGTGTGGGACAGGTCCTCCAACAAAGTGCGGAACTACCGCATCTTTGAAAAGGTAGGGGACCAGGCTCTGCTGGGTGGGGGGACCTAGGACGTGGGACAAGGGGCTCAGGAAGGGGCAGGGTATTGTCCCTGGGTGGGGGATGAGACTGACATGGCCCAGATCTGACCCTTCCCTGTCTCTCTCCTGTGCCTAGGGCTCCCCAGCAGGGGTGGTGATAAGATTGGCACCCTGGCTTTATTTACACCTGAACACAGCCCCTGGCATGAGGTCCATGCTGGTTGTGGGGTGGTGGGGAGTGGCTCAAGGACATAGGGCAGGCAAGCACAGGCTACATTTTGTTACCATGATTGCTGACTGCTCCATTTTACATATGGGGCTCAGGGTGGGAAATTGGACTGGGGTGCAGCCATCTGGGGCCTGCTGACCCTGCTCCTCCTGTCCCTGCAGGACTCTAAGTTCTATCTGGAAGGTGAAGTCCTGTTCACCAGTGTGGGCAGCATGGTGGAGCACTACCACACGCACGTGCTGCCCAGCCACCAGAGCCTGCTGCTTCGGCACCCATACGGCTACCCTGGGCCCAGATGACGCCATAGTGCGAAGCAGCCACCGGACTACAGACCTAGCCGTGTCAACCGAGGCAGCCTGTGTGGGAGGAGGCACGGGGGGCTGTGCTTGACTGTGGACCCCCAGTGGATACCTTGTGGATCTTGGCCAGGGGCCACCCAGCAGGCCAGCTCCCAGCTGATCCCAGCTGTAGCTCTGGAGGACTGATCAGCTCTCTAGCTGCAGCTGGTCCCTGCTGTTGCACTTGGGGCTCCAGGACAGAGCCTGACTTCACCTTCAGGACAGGATGTGTGCTGTGCTGCAGCATCCTGGGAGCCAGACAGGGCTAAGGCAGTCGGCAGGGCTGGACAGGCCCTAGGATCCCAGGACACGAGACCCATACTCTAGGTGGGATCCATGCTCCCAATAAATCCAAGGTGACCTTTGCCTCATGGCCTAGCTTGATGGAAGAAGGGCTTGGTTATCCTCTCATGTTCAAGTGGGGCACAGCTTACGAGGCCCCAAAGGTGGTATCCCTGGCCGCTGAGTCACCCAGGGTGCACTGTTGGAGCCAGTCGGGGCCTGCCTACAGCAGTCCACTTTTAGCCTGCATGAGGAGCCCAGGGTGAAAGCCCCATGTCTACACTCACTGCTGCTTTGACCAATGGGCATTGAGTGCTCTTGTGCCTGGCTGGGTGACCACACTGGGTGTAAGTGTGGTGCCTCCACCCTGGCTCGCCCAAGCTTACGACCCAGGGCCTGGGAAAAGCCAGTGGAGAGGGCCAGCAGCACAGGGTACAGGGAGCTGGGTATACAGGGACCAGCAGGGACTAAAGGGAGACTTCTTGGAGGAAGGGAGGCCCCTGCACAGGCCAGGGGTGGGTGAGGACAGGGCCTCCAGATGCCCAGGCCCTCTGTGTGACACCCAGCTGAGACACGGCTCTGCTGTGGAATTCCAGTCGGAAAACAAGTGCAGCCGGGCCGGCTTGGCAGGGAACCAGGCTCAGTTGCTCTGTGCTGTGCCGGGGAAGGAGGAGGTTGTAAGGTGCAACCACACCGAGGCCTGCACCGTGGCCACCGGCGAACAGCTGACTGTCCAGGGGATGGCCCTGGGGCCTGTGGTTTCCTGGATGTGCAAGGTTAGTAGCCTGGGAGGCTGCAACCCTCATGTACCAGGAGGCACAGGGTGACAACAGGCCCTGAGGGGCAGCAGCCCTGCTGTGTACTGCCAGAAAGCAGTGCCCGCCCTACTCCGCAGCTGTTTATTCTTCAGCCTGCCCGGGAGAGTGGTTAGCGTTCACCACAGCAGTAGGGTGCAGGGAGCCCAGGGTGTGCATGCCTGGAAAACCAGCCAGTCTCCTGCCTGCGGCTGGAATTCTTTGCCCCATCTTTGCCTGTTAAGGACTTGGGGGGCACCACTGGCCACTGTGGCTGCAGTCCCCCTCCTGGGATGTTGACATGGGGAACTGGATCAGAGCACTGCCTTGTCACACTGAGCTGCGTGCTGGGGAGGCTCACTTGTGCCACTTGCTCAGGGGCTCCTGTCTCAGATGAGGGCTGAGGGTTACACTGGGCCTCTGGCTGCTGCCCAAGGCCCACTCCTCCTCGTGGGCTGGGCTGACTGACACAGTGGGCCACCCCTGTGCCAAGGCTTCACCAGAAAGAGTAATGGGCGCATCTGGCTGGAGTCCTCCAGCTCCTGACCCTGGCTGTGAGCATCCTCCTGATGCAGGACGGAAGACAGAGGTTCTATGGGCAGAGTGCTTTGTGCCTTGAGGGTGTTGGGCTGGGAACATGTCTGTGTGCAAGTCCTCACCTCACCACTCACTGTCTATGACCCCAATCCTGCTTCTCTGCTTGGAGCCAGGACCTTTGCCCTGCCTGGCTGCTGGGGCCCCCCTCAGCCTTCACTGTGACAGCCATTGTGGAGCATCTGACTGGAGCACCCCCATGCGCTTCCCTGAGCTCGAGTCACAGCTCTAGGGAAAACCCACAGGAGGCCTAGGCCCTAGCCTGGCTCCTGCTTCCCTACTGTACTGACAGAGACTGAGGTTCTCTCCCTGTCATGATGCGTGTAGAGCCATTTCCATCCGGGGCTCAGGAAAAGGGCTGTGGTACTGTAGACTGCTTCCCCAAGCAGAAAACAAACTATGGCTTTATTTCCTGTAATTGACCTGAAAATGTGGTGAGTCTTTGCCTTTTGCTTTTTTTGTTTGTTTAGATTTTTTCGGAGGAATGTTTTTATTTTACTCCTTTGGTATTATTATTATTATTATTATTATTATTATTTTGTACCAGGGATTGAACTCATGACTTCGCGCTTGCCAGCCACTGAGCTAAATCCCCAGCCCTCGTTATTATTTTTTGAGACAGAGTCTTGCTATGTGGCTCAGGCTGGCTTCAAACTCAGAGCAATCCTCATGCTTCAGCATCCCAAGTGCTGGAATGGTTTGTGATTATTTTTGCAGCGTCAGGAACAGAACCAGGGCTCATTCATGTTAGATAAATGCTCTGTCCCTCCCAACCCCAGAGATGACTTTAGAACCAGAGGGACTCCTCACAAATTGGAGTTGCTCTGGGTCCTGCCCAACCTCAACTCTGGGTCATGTGGTAGGGAGAGCCCCTTGCTGGTTGGAGCCTAGACTCAGTCCTGAAGAGTTTTGCCCCTTCTGGGCACCGCCGGCTGAGGGAGAAGAGGCATTGACCTGTGGCTTCCTGTTCTGCTCACTGGAACCATGGTTGCCCTGCTACCCCCATTTAACAGGCAGGAAGACTGAGGCCCGGAAGCAGATTTCTGAGACTGACCAGGCCCTGCGGAGACACTAGACAACCCCGCAGTCACATGGGGGATGTAGGCAGGTCTGGATATCTAGAGCAGGGGAGGCTGCGGCCTCCTTCCCTCACATCCTTCCTCCACCTGGGGCCAGGGAGGAGGCCCTGGAAGGAGTCAGCCTGTACCTCAGCTCCCGGCCCATGCTCTGCTTCCAGGGGCAGTGGGAGCAGGGAATAGGCCCTGTCTGAGGCCACAGGACTCTTCGAGGCTGCCTGATTCCTGCCATTGCATTGCCCTCTGGCCTTGTCCCTGCCCACACACTAGGATGCTCATTTCCCCCTTATTTCCTGTGGAATAAAACAAAATAAGCAAAACAGAAACCAGTGCAGCCTGACATATTGTTAAGTGCAAGCAACCTCTGAGAGCAGCCTCCAGCATCCACTGCCTCCCGCCCATCTAGCGTCTAGTGCTGCCCCCTAGTTTTATTTTTATTTTGCATTTTCTTTTACAGTAGTGGGGATTGAGCCCAGGGTGTTTGCACTGAGCTCTACCCTAGCCCTTTTTAATTTGAGACAGGGTCTCTCCTAAATTGTTTATTTGTCCAGATGGGACTCAAACTCCTGATCCTACCTCAGAGATCCTCCTTCCCAGAGTGGCGAGATCACAGACCTACACCCCTACCCCTGACATTCTGCTGTCTGTATGTCTCCTGTGCTTGTTTTCCCCAAAAGCTTCCACTGTCCAGTTATGCGTCCGCCCCAGCCCTTTCCTGTTTTTGTGTTTTATGGCAATGGAATGACACAGGCATGTGCTTTGGCACCTGGCCCCTGGTTCATCGGAGGGAGACGCCTTTGGTTGGTGTGTGCAGCATGGTGTGTGGTGGCTCACTATGAGATCTGCCCACAGCTGACTGCAGGTGAAGCCTGAGCTGTTCCCCAGGGTCATCACAGACAGTGCTGTCTGGGGCGCTGGGGTCTTCTTTCCAATTCCTGAAGTACTGCTGTGGTGCCTGTGTCCTCCAACAGCTCGAGAAGTCTTTCAACTTCAGTCCTGCCAGTGCTGGGCTTTGACTGCTTTTCATTTTCGCAGCTGGTGGGCGTATGATTCTGGCTCTAATTTGCATTTGACGTAGTTTATTAGCCATGTTGGTTTGGTCTCCCATGAAGTGCCTTTTCACCTCTTCTGCCCATTTTTTTACCTGGTAGCTTTTTAAAAAATTAATCTAGAGGCTTTCTTTTATACACCTATGAGGCTGTTAGCGATTCTGTTGTGGTGATTCTGCTGGAGTTCGTGCTCTTTGTTACTTGTTTAAGAAATGTTAAGCCAGGTGTTGTGTGGAACATGCTTATAATCGCAGCACCCTGAGAGGCTGAGGCAGGAGGATGGCAAGTGTGAGGCCAACTTAGGCAGTTTAGCAATTTAGCAAGACCCTGTCTCAAAAATAAAAAGGGCTGGGGATGTAGTTCAGTGTAAAGGCTCTAGGTTCAATCCCCAGTACCCCAAACAAACGAAAACAAGACAAAACAAAAACCCTTGTTTCTTTTCCTTCTTTCTTTTATTTTTGTTTTTGTTTTAGATGCCCTGAATGTTTAATGCGTAAATGTTGGCAGGATGACTTTGCCGACAGTGTTTGAGCTGAACAGCCCGCTGCTGCCAGGAGACGTTGGCGGAGATCCTTGTTTCGGGTTTCATGATGTTGTCCAGGTGGGCCCCTGACTCCTGAGCTCGAGCATTTTTCCTGTCTCATCCTCCCAAGTAGCTGGGACTGCAGGTGGCCCCACACCAGCTTCCCACGTAGAGCCAGCTTGTCAGTTCTGACAGCGACGACCCCGCTGGCATTTGAATTGGGAATTCACTGCTGGAAAACAGCTTGAGGGAAACGGACATCTCCACGATGCTGAGCCATGTGGTCCCTGAGTCTCCTGGAACTTCTTCAAAGTTTGCCGATAGGTTTTTTTTTTTTTTTTTATGGGTTTTATGATTTTTCCATTATGATATCCCTCGCCTCTTGTTAAGTTTGATTTTCTGTGTGTGTGCTGGGAACTGAACTCAGCCTCATGCTTCCTTGGCAGGTGCTGTGCCACTGAGCCATATTCCCGGCCTCCAAGTTTGATTTCTTTTGATGCTTCATATTTCTTTTGGTCTGTTATACAATGTATATATGCTTAATTTAATTTTTTATTCATTTGCTAATAGCATATAAAAGATATCTTGGGGTTTTTTTGTTCTTTATTTATTTATTTTTTGTCTTTTTCCTTTTTATCGGTACCGAGGATTGAACTCACTGCTTACAAGGCAGGCGCTTATGCCGCTGAGCTAAATCCCCAGCCCCTTTTTGGTTTTTTTTGAGACAAGGAATACTGGGATTATAGGAGTGCACCACCATGCTCAGCTAGAACTGTATACTTTAAAACAACTGAAATGATAGTTTATGTTGGAATTTAACACTTCAATGCAAAGGCCCTGAGTTCAGTGCCCAGTACAGCAAAAACAAATAATAACAACCAGAAGTGAAACAAAAAAACCCACAGAGAATTAAATCTGTGCCATGACAACCTCAAGTCATGTGGGGCTCGGTGAAGGTAGGGACCCGTGAGAACCTGTGTTGTCCAGGAGGAGGATACAGGTGTAAGCTCCAGACTTAGGGTTAGAAAGGGAGCTATGACTTTCTAACTAGGAGAAAAGGAGAAATAGAATGATTTTTTTTGTAAGTAGCTCAATCCAAAAGAATGGGGAAAAAGAATAGAAAAAGAATAAAAAGAAGTTGGAAGCAGTATGCACCCAATGACGTGAGTCCAGGAGTCTGAGATCAGCCTGGCAATTCATCTCAGGAGAGGGCACAGGCATGTGGGCAGTAAAGACCCTGGTATCACAGCACCTGGAAGGCAGAGGCAGGAGGATCACTGTGAGTTCGAGGTCATGCTGGGCTACATAGTGAGCTCAAGGGCAGCCTGGACTGCACAGTGACACCCTGTCTCAAAAAACAAACAAAAAAACTAAATTAAAATATAAAAGCATACAGTTCCGTGGCTGTAAGTACATTCATGTCATACAACCACCACCACCATCATGCAACCCAGAATGTTCCATCTTTCCCAGGCTGAAGCTGCCTCCACTCAACACTAGCCTTCTGGCCTCCTCCTGGGCGCTGGCAGGCACCACTGTGCTCTTCATCTGCATGCCTTTGGCTGCTTGCGCTTCATTCAGGGGCGTGTCCACCGTGGGTCCCTTTGTGATTGGCTGGTTTCACTTGGTGTAGCGCCTTCAAGAGTGACCCATGCTGTAGCAAGTGCAGGATTTCTGCCCTTGTCAAACAGAATGCTGTTCCATTGCACAGAGAAAGCTGCCTAGCCAGATGTTGTGGCAGATGCCAAGCTCAGCACGTGGGAACCCGAGGCAGCAGGGTCACTGTGAGTTTGAGCCAATGTGGGCTAAATAGCCAAACCCTGTCTCAAAACGGGTAAGTGCCTGTCGCTAACCCTTTAGCGCTCCACAGACTCGAGGATGCGGTCCGGGGGCTGCTGTGGTTAAGGCTGCTGTGAACCCGCGAGCTATACATATCTGCTCACATCTCTATTTTTATTTCTTTTGGGTGTACAACCAGATGCAGAATTGCCAGTAAGCCCACGTTTAGCTGAGTAAACACTGCCCTGATTCCCACAGAGCTTCACTCTCCATTCTGACCTGCAGTACACAAGGGCGCGCTCTGTCACCCTTGCCAGCCCTGTCCCGTCCCAGCCTTTCTTCTTTCCGACATCCTAATGAGTGTGAAGCTCCCTCACAGCTGCTGCTGATCCGCATTTCCCTACTGGTAAGGATGCTGGGCACATTTTTTGTGGACTTTTTGGCCATCTCTAGATATTCTTTAAAGAAATGTTGATTCAGGTCCTTTACCAATTTTAAAATCGATTTGTTTGCTTTTCGTTGTATTTTTTCCCCATTTTTGTATTTTTATATTTTTGTGGTACTGGCTATGATTAAACCCATAAAACTTGTATGTAAGCTTTACTGTGTAAGGCAGCTTGTGCCTTAGCTACCAAGCTTAAGACCTGTTGCATCTGGTTTAATTGTAGTTATAAGTTGAGATTTAAAAGCATCACACTTATTATATTTAATTTTCCCAGTCCTTCAAAGCAAATTGTCTTGCGTTGTGTCTTAAGATATTTTACATTTAAAAAGTGTTGCAGATTTGGTCATAGCATTTCTATATTTAAGTTGCTTTGTAAAGATAACTCAGATATATGTAATGTATGAATGGAAAATGGGTATGTCATTCAAAATGCCTTGCAGATCTCGTAATCTGGCTGACTCTACTACTGTTGATTTAAAGCTGTGTAACCTGTTTGGTTCCTTTTTCAAATGATGCTACTTATACTATAAAGTGAGTATTGTTTTTTCTGTGATGTCTTTGTAAGAGGAAGTCAATTCTGTGTTCATTTTGTAGCTCTCACTGAAGAAGTGTGATCTGGGCTGTGATAGTTTAACTACGAGTTCTTGACAAGCTCAGCATCTGCATGTTACCTCTATTAGGTGTTACTTCCTTTTCACATCCTGTAAGCAGAAAGGAATTAACTTCAGGCACTGTGCTTTGCTTGTAAAGCATAATTTTAATTTCTTACTACATTTGCTCTTACAGCCTTTCCTGCTAAAGTTTTTTTTTTTTTTATAAATTTCAGAAGCAGAAGTGGCAGAGCACTCAACAGGTATAACCCATCTTCCACCTGAGGTAATGCTGTCGATTTTCAGTTACCTTAATCCTCAAGAATTATGCCGGTGCAGTCAAGTCAGCACCAAATGGTCTCAGCTGGCAAAAACTGGATCCCTTTGGAAACATCTTTACCCTGTGCATTGGGCCAGAGGTAGGTAAATGGGATTTTTAATTTGTTTTAAAAATATGTCAGTACATTTTTCTAGATGAATACTCATAGTCATTGAGAAGGGTAGGAAGAGAAATTCTTGAGATCATTGCCAAAAAATGCATTTCATACTTAAAAGATATGTTCTTGGTATATATTTCAGAAAAGATAGCAGTGCTGAAGTAGCCATGTGAATTATATGATGTCTACCATTGTCTTCAAAATAGTAAGAAAAAAACAATTGGAAAAGGGAATTTAAAAAATTGGAAAGACTGATAATTATTGAAGTAGCTGTTGAATGCATGGGAATTCGTTATAATAATTCTTTCAGCATTTGACTGGAGTTTTTCATAGTAAAAGGTTAAAAGTAAATGTCACAGATTTTCAGAACTGTCTACATAATTAGTTTGGGTATTCTAAAAGTACAGAATAAATTCTATGAAGTTGTGTGTGTGTGTGTGTGCACGTCTGCACACGCGCGTGGTTGGTAGTTCTCATTCTCTAAATCATAGTCTCATACCCATTTCATTGTGGTAAGTTACTTTCACATGTGAACAGTTAAAAATTTTTTTCTTGAGGATATAATGGATCATGGGTTAAATGCAAGTAATATGATCCACGTTTTTCTGTCACTGAAGTAACACTTCTATGTGAGTATTAACTCAGAATTCATATGAACTTTTAAAATAACTTTCTCTTACATGTGGCTGTGTGACTTTTAACATGCAAATATAAATGTCACATAATTTTCTCTGACTAAATTTAAGTCTTGAAGCAGTTTGTTACAGTAATATGTAGGACTTTTTTTGTGTCTCTTGGTTTGTTTGTTTTTGAGGTAGGGGCTTGTGGTGTTACCCAGGCTGGTCTGTAACCTGTTACCCACCTTCTTCAGTGTCCTGCAAGCTGGAACCACAGGAACATGGCATCTCAGCTTGTAGTGTTTTAAAAATAAGTGGTAGATACTAGTTTTATTTATTCATTTTTCTGTTTGTTTATTTGATACTGGGAGTCAAACTCCAACCTTATGCTTGCCAGGCAGGTGCTGTGCTTTTGAGCTACATCCCCAAACCTATTTAGTGTTTCTTGAGTAAAGCTATTTGGAATATTGCAATTGACTTGTATAATTCAAATGAATAGAATTATCTTTATGTGAATTAATTTTTAATAGGATGATGGAATATTGAGTAAAAAGGCAAATATGGATGTATGAAGTACTTTTACTAAGGTTTCTTTCTTATCAAATGTGATTTCCTCTGCTAACTTTTATGAAGTCACCTGAATTTTAAATATGGGTTTTTTTTTTTGTTTCTAATATATGTAAACAAAAAATCCTAGTAATATGTTTATTTATGGCATTTGTATTGAGTGGCTTTACCTTCTTCCAATGTATACTTAAATATCTGGAAGACAGTTCTGCTTTTTCTGTGTTTGGATATTATACTGGAGTCTAGCAACCTGGGTTAGAGGTCAAGATTGTGCCAATCATACTATAGCCTCTAGGTCACCCACCACAGAATGGAAAATGTCAGTGTTCTGTAGGTTGAGAAACTCTGACTTAGATGTAATGTTAAAAATTTAGTAAATTCTGTATTGCCTCACTTCATGATGATATAATTTAGTTGCAGTATAATCTCCAGGGTCTAAAAATGTATGCTTTTGCTTTACCTTAATTTTTCCTTTTTGAGTCCACCCACATTTTTCTGACTTGTGCTTGTCATCGTAATAAGGCTATTGCTGAAGCCACTGTGAAGCCACAGTAGGGGAAAAAGGTTAGGCTGCTTCAATGACTTTTAAAAATTGCCTGTAAGACTATTGATAATTATTTTCCTTGGAAATGGAATTATAACCATTGAGCTTATTTGTATAAAAGGTGAACTTGAAAAACCTTGTACATAGAGAGTAGATACATAGCAGGCATATAGCAGACTATAAGTTTTTGTAATTATTTTCCATAGTTTTGAAGAGTAAGGTTTACTTTGGGAAAATGTCAGTTGTTGTATGGTTGGTTGTGATTTTTTTTTTTTTTTTTTTTTTTTGCCTTTTTCCTTTTTATCGGTACCGGGGATCGAACTCACAACTGCCTGCTTGCAAGGCAGGCGCTTATGCTGCTGAGCTAAACCTCCAGCCCCTGTATGGTTGGTTAATAATTTTATCTGAAGTCACACCGTCAGTTCTTTTCAGTGCATTTGAAATTGAATGCTTTACTTACTTAAGTGTAGTTTTTAAGTGATTCTAAAAATAGCTGTTTCATTGTCTGGGGCTAGTACATCTTTTGTGTATAGAGATTTTTATTGTAAATAGGTATCTTTGTTTGGTAAAAATAGATTTCTTATCTTACTTTGTAACTCTCACTTGTTTGTTCACCGAGTAGGGGACTGGTACAGTGGTCCTGCTGCTAACCTTGATACTGAGCCCGATGAAGAATGGGTGAGAAGCAGGCGAGATGAGAGTCGTGCTTTTCAGGAGTGGGATGAAGATGCTGATATAGACGAATCTGGTGAGCTGGGCTTGGCGTTAAAGTTAGTACATGTTGTTTTAGTGACTGACATTTTAGTGCTTATTGCTAACATTCCTGTGTTTGGTGTTTTTGGAAGAAATTTGTTTTTAAGCCTACTACTTTTTAAAATTTGAAGGAATAATAAGTAAACAAAATTTATTCTAATTGAAGTGGTTTAAATGTGCATTGTATTGCTTCCTGTGTGTCTTTATATTAAAATTTAAAAATGAGAAACTGATACCCAGTTCCCCTATGAGAATAAAGTGTATTTATTACAGAACTTCATCACTTACATTGTGCTTTTTAGAGGCAGTTAATGAATCAATTCCTCAGCCTTACTGAGTTGTCTGTGTCCCGAGGAAGGAGATGAGGTGTTGAGTGCTTATTCATCTGTGAGGTTGTAACACTTGCCTCTGGAGGGAGTTGTCCTTGAAGATTCTGGTTGAGGTGTAGCTCAACAGCAGAGCACCTGCCTACTGTGTGGAAGGCTCTGGGTTTAAGTCTCAGCCCTGCAACCCCTCCAGATGTTTTCATACATGAAACTTTTATAATTGGCTATTCTCTCCCTAACCTTGCTTATCAATGGCTGTATTTATCTAGAAAAACGTATTGACATTTTTTTTAAACAAACTGAGAATTTCATTTACCTGTCTGTGGCCCAGTGTACAGGGTACAGATTTTCTTATTTTGAGACATGGTTTTGCCAAGTTCTCAGGCTGGGCTTCAACTTGGCAGTCCTCTTACTCCGTCTCCCCAGTGCTAGGATTTCAAGCATGCATGAGCTTGACTGGCTGCAAACTAGCATGTTTAAGCAGTATCCAATGACACTCTGAGATAGGAAGTCGTAAGATACACTTTCATAGCGTAGCCATTCATTATGTACTTGGAAAGTTCAAGAGTTTATCAGAATGTTTTCCTACCCACTTAGAACTCAAAGGTGGAGGAGAATTTAGAATACATAATTCTCAATTCAAGGTATGTAATGAAAAATGCTGTAGTAGAAGTGCGTATGGATGCTGTTCTTGGATGTAGAGGAGGAAGACAGAAGTTCTGTTTTAGATACCATTCTAGAAAAAAACTACTGAGAGATAATGAAGTAGAAAAATAACAGTTTTCTACCTGCTAAAACAAACTGTAGGGGATTCTGGGTTAGAATGGTGTATTTTACTTACAGCTGCTCCAGTGGGAGCTAAATGTGGAAAGTGAGAACTGCCGTGTCTGGTTTTGGAAGGTGCTTTGTAAGGGGAGTTGCATCCGCTCAGACCTGCTGCTGTGCATCCTGGGTGGGGGGGTGGGGGGGACTCTGTCCAAGTGTGAGGGACTCGGTGATGAGCAGAAGGGGAGAAAGTGCACTGGCCTTGCAGAGCTGAAAACATGGAGATGGGAGGCGGAGAAGTGTTGTGGAGAAAAAGAAGGGAAATGTGCCAGAAAGAAAGGGAAGAAGTTGCCATCTTTAAAAGAGTGATTTAGTTTCCCCTAGATTTGAGTGAAAACTCAAAGGAGGTAAAGTCTTACTTGTCACCTTAGGGAAGAATTGATTTCTCATCTCTTGAAAATTAACCCCAGAATCTATGATATAGAGGATGAATCGAGGCTTTTGTGTGTTTGTCTGAATACTTGAGAGAAGAGCCAGGTGTGGTGGTGCACACCTGTCATCCTAGTGGATGGGAGGCTGTGACAGGAGGATTGCTGCAAGTTTGAGGGTAGCCTGAGCTACAAAGTGAGCTCAAGACCAGCCTACACTACCTACTGAGACCCCACCTCAAAAAACCAAACCCAAACAAAGAAAGCTATGAAGATTGGAGTTAAGGTTTGTATGCTTAGCACCTGTGAGTACTGGGTTTAGTTGCCTTCCTTACCTTACCTTCCCAAAGGAAAAACAGATTGAGTCATTTGGAAGACAGTGTTCTCCATCTCATTTGTGGGTGAGCTCCAGGCTCCCCTGTGGACCTGCCTTCTGCTCAGCACTGTGTGCAGCTTGGGTGTCTTTACTCCTCAGGCGGAGGTGACCGACCACTCACCACGTTTTTGTGTTTCGTAGAGATTTTACAGTAAGCAGTGCACATGTACATAAGGAGGGCTACAGAAAGTAAAGGATTGGAAATGAAGTCGTAGTAGAGTAAACAGGGCTCATTGAGAGAATTTTTATTTCTTTGTGTTTTACATATGTGTCTGGTGAAGGAGAAGTTTTAAGATAATAGATACAGATATGAAGCAATTAGTTACAAATCATTTTCTTCATTTATAATCCTTTTGTCCACTGTTTTACTTTATTTTTTTCACTTTTATTTTAAATTAGTCTTCCTTGACTTTAAACTTTTCTGTTTAGAGAGATTCAAGTTAGGCCTTTACATAATAAGGACAATAACAATAGAATCTTGAGAAAATATTTAAAATTATTAGTTCCTTTTTAATGTAGTATCTTTTAAAATATAAAACTGGCATTTTAAAATAAATTTTTTTGTGTGGTGGTGGTTATATTAGTGCAACCTGTTGTAAACATGCAAGTTGAATACATCCCTGTCCTTTTAAAAATTGTTTTACTTTGAGAAAGTGTCAGTGAGAAGGGGGCCAAGCTGGGCTCGGGATTTCAGTTCCTCTGCTCTGTCCTCCCTGGGATTACGGGGGTGGGCCATGCTCATTTTTAACTTCTTAATGATTTTAAGATACCTTCCTTTGCTTGATTCATTATGTTCAGCCTGAGTGTCATTTCATATATGTTCAGATTTGTGTCCTTATTTCAGTAGAATAACTGATTATACATTTAACCATGTGTCTTTTCTTTTGATATATATTCTATTTTCCCTTGAAGAGCATTGCTATCTTTAAGTATTCAGAGTTCTTTTAAAAGTTTACTTTATTGCCTGAAATTGGAGTTGCTTGAGAAGGGAGTTTAGAGACAGCACAAAATATTTCATAGTTAACAGCTGGCTAGTCTTTAAGTACTGTAATTGTAATTAGTGTGTTGAAATCTTAGATTTTTGAATTCATCTTTACAGAAGAGTCTGCAGAGGAGTCGACTGCTATCAGCATTGCGCAAATGGAAAAACGCTTACTCCATGGCTTAATTCATAATGTTCTGCCGTATGTCGGTACTTCTGTAAAAACTTTAGTGTTGGCATACAGCTCTGCAGTTTCCAGCAAAATGGTATGTACATGTTAGCAATAGCTTGGGAACTAAGACAAATAGTAGTGATACAGCTTTGGTTTATTATTGAGCTTAATTACGGGAATAATATGGTGAGTGCCTTCTGAATAGACGTACACTACTGAGTCTCGTATTGTTTTAGTTCTTAGAAAAATCTTTTTTGCGTGAGTATCATTGCTTACATGTTATGGATGAGATAACCAGACTGGGAAAGGTTAAATACTGTACTCAGATGTAGGTAAGATGGTCAAGTGAAATAAAATCACTGTTTTTGGTTTTTGCAGTACTGGTAATTGAACCCAAGCAAGACTTGAGAGCTGCGCTACATCTCCAGCTGTTATAAAAAAAATTTGCCTTCAAATTTTGAGGCAGGGTCTTGCTGAATCATTATATAAGACTGTGCTCAAATTTATGATCTTGTCTCAGCCTCCCAGAGTGCTAGGATTCAGTCCTGAACCACCTTAATGATGTCTGTGAAAGTGCATCTTATGAATTCCTACTTCAGTGTATATTGAAGACTTCTAAAACACATTAGTTTGCAGCCAGTCAAGCTTATGTATGTTTGAAATCCTAGCATTGGGGAGACGGGGGTAAGAGGTTTGCAAGTTCAAGCCCAGCCCGGGCTCAAAATTAGAAAAATTAAAATGGCTCTGGGTTCAGTCCCCAATACTGGGAAAGAAATTCCTAAGTGGTACCTCACAACATTAACATAGGTTCTCAGGGATTTGAGCCTAGAATATGTATTTGCAATGTGCTATTCAGGTGACTTTTTTTTTTTTAAACATGCACTTGAGTTTGAGGACCACTGGATTATACTTACTAGTGAGTGCCTATTGCTTCTCTGACTAAAGATGTGCTGATCTTTATGGCAGCTCTTTCTCCCTTAGGTTAGGCAGATTTTAGAGCTTTGCCCTAACTTGGAGCATCTGGATCTTACTCAGACTGACATTTCCGATTCTGCATTTGACAGGTTAGTTATTTTAAAATATTTAAACTATAATGGATTATTAGTGGAATTATTTTCTCGTTCATTTACATCATGACAGTTTAATCATGCTGTTATTTTTTACTGCTCATCTTGTTTGGCTATAACTTGATAGCAACGTCCATTTCTTTTTCTGCTATCCACTACTCCCAGCTGATCCAAAATTTCTATCATTTTGCCATATGTGTAACCAGGTACTGACTGTATTAGGCCTTTGAGCTTTGCTTTACAACCGTGGATTTGTGCTGCATGTGTGTAAGGTTTCATTTGGCCTTACGCCCTTTGGCACAGCTTCCTTTGTATTTTTAGAGTACCACTCATTCCAGCTGTACTTTCTGTACACATCTACTTTCTGTAGATTACGTTTTGTTGTATACTACCAATTTCCCCTTTATTCCGGTGTGCCCCCTCCCATGCTAGTATATTATTTCAGAGAGAAAGATCTTTCTCCTGTCTAAGGCCAGTTACCTAATTTCTGGATAGTGTTTCTTAGGTACTTTCCTCCATTAAGCCTTAGATATTGTCCTTCTCTTATACGTGTATAATATTTTTGCCCTGCCAATTACGTTCAGGATAATAAACAAGTTTTATACTTACCCTTCTGCCATCCTATCTGTTATGTTAGCAGTACTGTTAATTTCTAATGAATGTCACTTTGTTTTTATATGCTTAACACCAAAAGTATTACCTTGTAACGGTAAATATTTAGCAGATACTTGTGTGATAATATTAGATGTAAAATCTGTTTTTCTAACATCCAACTATACAAATGTAGTCAGATAATTTGAAGAATTTAACAACATATACTAGTAGTCTTGTTACCTCTTAATTGTAGTTGGTCTTGGCTTGGTTGCTGCCAAAGTCTTCGGCATCTGGATCTGTCAGGATGTGAGAAGATCACAGATGTGGCTCTAGAGAAGATTTCTAGAGCTCTTGGGATTCTAGCATCTCATCAGAATGATTTCCTGAAAACTACTCCAAGCAGAATTACTGCAGCTAAATGGAAAGACAAAGACATTACTATGCAGTCTACCAGGCAGTATTCCTGTTTGCGCGATTTAACTCAAAAAGGCATTGCAGAAGAAATAGACAGTGAGCACACCTGGACTAAGCCTGTTTCTTCTGAAGGTTTTACTTCTCCGTATGTGTGGATGTTAGATGCTGAAGATTTGGCTGATATTGAAGATGCAGTGGAATGGAGACACAGAAACGTTGAAAGTCTCTGTGTAATGGAAACAGCATCCAACTTCAGTTGTTCCTCGTCTGGTTGTTACAGTAAGGATATTGTTGGACTAAGGACTAGTGTCTGCTGGCAGCCACATTGCGCTTCTCCGGCCTTTGCTTATTGTGGCCATTCATTCTGTTGCACAGGAACAGCTCTAAGAACTATGTCAGCACTCCCAGAGTCTTCTGCAATGTGTAGGAAAGCGTTAAGGACTACATTGCCTAGGAGGAAAGACTTACTTGAGTTTGGGAGTGAAAAATCTGATCAAGAGACTGGAAGTGTACTTTTGTTTCTCAGTCTGTCTGGCTGTTACCAGATTACAGACCACGGTCTCAGGTGAGTAACCAAAGGAGTAAGAAATGGTCACACTTTCATTTTCATGTCAAATAGGAAAGCTTGATGTAAATTATCCCTTGCAGTGTATTTATTTAAACAAGAAAGTTGACAAAAGGGGTTCTATTTCAGAGTGTTGGAATAATATAACTTACATAGTTTAAATCTGTTGCAATATGTAGAGCAATGTAAATTTTTTTCTTCCTATAAAGAATGTCTGCAACTTTGATAAACATAGATCTGTAAGTTGTATTGGCATTTGTCAGGCTATAGTCTATAAACATAGAAGTCTTTTGCATTTATTTGGATTGTTTTTAATTTTAGCAGTGGTTTATACTTTGTAGCATACAACTAGTTCATCTTGGTTGATTCCTATGTGTTTAATTCTCATCGATGCTGTTGTAAGTGAAATCATTTTGTTTTGTAGATTGTATATAGAAACACAGCTGAGGGGCGTGTGTCGATTCTGTGCTTTTCATTAAATTATTCTAACAGATTTTTGGTTGAATTGGAATTTTCTGTGCATACAGTAATATCGTCTCTAAAGACATAATTTTACTTTACAGTTTGTACACATTTTGCTTCTTTTTCTTATTTAATTTCTCTGGCCAGAACTTCCAGACCTGTGTTAAGTAGATGTGGGGTGAGCACTTTGTCTTGCTCTTATGGGGAAGGAGTTTCAGTCCTATGCCCACGAGCGTGATGTTAGCTCTGGGTTTTTCATAGGTGAAAAACTTGCCTTTTATTTCTGTTCACTAGACTTTTGTTTTTCTTACGAAAGTGTATTAGATTTTGTTAGTGCTTTTTCTGAATCAGTTGAGGTGATCTTGTGGGTTTTTTTGTGGTGACATAGTGAATTATGTTGACTTTCACATGCTGAAAGTTGATGAAACACACATGGTCATGGTATACCATTGTTTTAGTGTCCTGATCAATTCAGTTCCTGGTTGTGTGTCTTCATGTTCACTAATTTTTTCTGCAGTGGCAATTACTGTTCACTGCTAACTTCGTCCAGTGCATATTTTGTTTCATATATTGTATTTTTCACCTCATTTGGCAATCTGTCTCTTTCCACATACACAGGTATATACATTGACAGTGTAAATGTACTATAATATATAAACAAAGTCCTATACAAAATTAAATATATAAATCATATAAACATACATTTTATTTAATTGCATTCATAGTTTAATTGTCAATCTTATTTAAAATATTTTTAAAACATTTTTTGTATACACATATTTAAGATATACAACATGATGTTATAGGGTACATACATAGTTATTGTAGTGAAAGAAATTAACATTCCACCTTACACAGTTACCTCTTTTTCTGTCTCATGGCATAGCCATGAGGTACACGTTTGCTTAGCAAAATTCTTGACTGCAGTACACTATAATTAACTATAGTATTCATTTTGAGCTTTAGCTCTTATGATTTGTTCCCATTGTATATGTCTTACTTTATATCATTTAATCCACATCTGTTTCTTCCTCACTAGTAACCACTGTTTTATTCTTTACCTCTACATATTGGTTTATTTTTAAAGATTGTACATATCAACCTGGCTTATTTCATTTAGCATTGATTCTGACATTAGTCAAAGGAATACCATAAATGTACTTTACTGTACCAAGAAACTTGCCTTCTGTATTTGTCTTTTTTTTTTTTTTTTTTTTTTTTTGGTACTGGGGATCAAACTCATCACCTCACACTTGCCAGGGAGGCACTTATACCACTGAGCTAAATCCCTGGCCCTACTTTCTGTATCTAGACTGTTACAGTTCTTACCAAGAAAGGATACTAAACTTTGAGTATTTTCTCTGCACCTGTTGATATGATCCTGTGCTTTTTTTTTTTTTTTCGTATTAATACATTGATTGATTTACTTGGGTTCAGCTACCTTTGCAGGCCAAAGATAAATTCTATTTACTTATGATATTTTGTTTTGATGTGTTGTTTCATTTGATTTCTGAATATTTTACCTAGGAGTTTTGCATCACTGTTCATCACAGATGTTTGGCCTATACTTTTTGTGGTATCTTTGAGGAATCAGAGTGAAGATGGACTTGCAAAATGTGTTAGGAAATACATGCCCTAGCCTTAATTTTTGGGAGAGTGTGACAAGTATTGTATTCTTTGAAGGATTTGTAGTAATCAACTGAAAGCCATCTCCTATATTCTTGGGCTTTTCCTTAGTGGGCTTTTGAAAATTACTCCTTTTGTATTAATATTTACTATTGATTGGCTCAGATTGTCTATTTCTTCCTGATTCAACCTTGGTGGGTTGTATTTTCTTAGAACTTTATCACTTTCCATTAGGTTTTCAAGTTTGTTACCACATAATTATTGATATGGTCTCTTGTGATCCTTTTTTCCTTCTAATCAGATATTTCTACATTTTAGATACACATAATGATCATATTTATTATGGAAATTTGTGCCTATACATGATATAACTTATTTTTCCTCTATTTACAAAATCCTTATTTCCATTTTTTTCTTCCATTCTTTTATTTCCTTCCTTTCCCCTCTGCCTCTTCCTTTGTTCTCCCCCTTGAACATTTTCTTTGTATTTCACAATATTTGTTACACATTTTGGTTCTTATTTACATTTTCAGTTTCTCACATCAGAGAAACAGTGTGGTATTTACACGTGTGTGTCCCAATTTATTTTGTAATCCTTTTTGTTTCCAAGATGCCTGCTGTGGTGGTGTCTATTTTCTCATTTTATATATTTGAATCTTATTTTTAATATAACTGAAGATTTGCTGATTTTTCTGTTCTCTGTTTCTGGTCTCATTTTTTCATGTCCTTCCTTCTGCTAGCATAATATTGTTTTATTTCCCGAAGGTGCTAATTTTCTTTTTTTTATTCATTTATTTATTTTTTGAGCTCTTTAACTCTGTGGCAGTGACAGATCAGGTTTTATTCCTTGGTGATGATATGTGAGAAAAGGTGTGTGTGTGACTTTTGAATTGTTAATATGATACTTATTGCTAGAAGCTTTCTCTTAGAACTACTCTTGCTGCGGTTTATGATCTATTTCACTCTACGCTCCACAGCTCCATTTATTTGCCTTGATACCTAACACACAATGGAAAAATCAGGTTAAGACTGATTGTGTTAGAGAAATAAAAAATGGTATCTGTCTTCAGAGCCAAGCATTCCCTGCCCACTGGATCACCTGACACCTAGTCATTGGATCTACCTAGTCATTGGGCTCCATGCAGACTGGACAGTCTTCAAGGAGAAGCTGGTTTTCACTGTTACATCCTTACCCCTTAGCACAATCCCTGGCACACAGAAACAGCCAGGGAGTATTTACTGAGCTAATCAGTAAGCCTACAAAATCTCCCAGAGAGGAAAGCAAACATGATGCTTCCCGAATCTTTTACCAAAAGGGAGGCACTGAGGTTCAAAATATAAATGGATCTCTCAAAACCATGTTTATGATCTATTTCACTCTACGCTCCACAGCTCCATTTATTTGCCTTGATACCTAACACACAATGGAAAAATCAGGTTAAGACTGATTGTGTTAGAGAAATAAAAAATGGTATCTGTCTTCAGAGCCAAGGTATGATTCTAAGCAAGCATTTTACGTAGATCTCCTCATTTATTTTTATTTATTAAACCTGAGAGCCCAGATAGACTAGAGACCTGTGGTTTTCTTAGAGAAACTAGGACTGAATAAACACAATAGCGAGGACCACTTGCAGAAGCAATGTCTCCTGAGAGACCGACAGCAAGGGTTTTGTGAATCATTAGAGCTTGGGCTCCAGGGCCAGTTAGGATAGAGGTCATTCAGAACTGGCCAGATGTGGAGCCCGGTGTGAGAGTTCTGGCTAGATCCCGAAGTCCTTGTGGAGATTCCTGTCCTGGCTTGCTGACTCAGGAAAGCACTTTTGGTCCACAGGTGGCCAGCAGACCCAGAATCTCTGCTAGAAACAAAACTGCCTCGGCACCAGCAAGTATAGTACCATGCCATATCCCAGTGTATCACCTGGTGTTTCTTCAGCTCTGCAGGCTGCTGGGGGCAGCTGACCCCACTCCTTGCCTGTGCACCCTCTGTCAGATAAAGAAAGAGGGCAGTGATTTATCTGAGATGGCTGTGATTACCTTGTCTCTGGGAATGGAGTGCCTAGACAGGTTAATGAAAAGGTCATAGTCCGAGGGGAGCACAGAACAGGGATCTTTGTCCAGCACCACTTTAAAGGCTTCCCAGATGGCTGTGCAGTTCCTGTCCCTGTGTAGAAGTACAGGTCAAAAATAAAACAAAAGACATCACCATATGCTGTGAAATATTTCCATTTCTTTAAAGGTTCTGCAAGCGATTCTGTCACATGCTGACTGCAGGACCACTCACATGAAAAAGCCAACACACGGTTCAAGCAGCAGATGGAGAAACCAGGCACTGGCAGTGTCTCTCAGAGGCACTGCATGGATTTCTCCAAGTTAGGGATATAGTTTTGCCCCAAGGTCACAGTGGGAAAGGTTACAGACTAGAAGGTGATGATGTTAATAAGCCACACAGCCTCAAGGAATCTTGTTCAGTCCCTTTTCATTGCTGAGGATGGAACTCAGGGCTGCACACATCCTCACATCCCCAGCTCTTGTTCTTTATTAAGGCACAAAAGCGGGGCCAGGCTTATTATCCAGGTCCATCTGGGCTCAGGGCTGGGCGGGACCAGAACAAAAGACAGCAAAACCCAAAGCCAGCACCAGCAATCTGGGCCAGGCTTTGCCTCCCAATGTAGGGAAAGCAGGCCCTGCCCTGACAGCCTCTGGCCTCCAGCTCCGCTTTTAAGAGCACTTCCCGAAACTGTGGTCCTGTTTCCTTTCTACACTGGGTGGAGCAATATTGATGTTCCTTATTCTAGCCTCTTTTTTTATTTGTCTGAAATGAGTCACAATAAAAACAACTGGCACCTGAAAAGGATATTATGAAAATGGAAAAAGAGAAAGGGTTCCTAAGAAGAAAGAAAAATCAGTAAGCAGCACGGCGCTGGTTAGAAAGAGGAACACTTGAGAGTTGTTCCAACGATGGGATCTGAAATTCCTGAAGCGCCTGGACTGGAGATTTTGGCTGCAGACTGAATACTGGGGTCTGAGGTCCAGCTAAGGGGGTCATTCACACTCGTCTCTCCAGCTGTGGCTTCTAGACTGACACTTTCCAACTATATACTCACATACTGACATCTCACCTCTGGACCACACAGTGCACCTCACCTGGAGACCCCGAGACACACACACACACACACACACACACACACACACACACACTCATACACACACTCACAGAGCCTGGATTGCAGCTCCGCTGCTCACCTAACCCGCCCACCTTTAGCCCCTGTCTCCCTCTCCACCACCGCCGCTCCTCACCCCAACTGCGGGCTCAGCAGCATGATGTACTCGGCGCAGCGGCCCAGGAAGATGCTCCGCAGCTGCGGGCTGGTACCCTCCCCGCTCCACCGGGCGCCCGCCGCCAGCTCCAGAGACAGCAGCGACAGCAGCGCGAGCAGCCGCAGCCCTGCGGCCGCGCATTCCCACGCCACCGCCATGGAGCAGACTTCGGTACTTGCGGACGCCGCCCACTTCCTCCGTGGCGCGGGCGGTTCCCGGCGCTGGCCCTGGGCCGCCAGCTCTGCCTCCTCCGCTACATGGCAGGCCCAGGACAGCTGGGAGCGTCATCGCCCCAGCAGGACCATGGCTTTTGCATGGTGTCCAGGGTGACACCAAAAAGACTCCAAGTGGCTGGATAGGTGACAGAATTTTATTCTTCCAAAGAAACATGTTTTTCTGGCTCCAAACTGTAACAACTTTTCTTAAGAGCCAATCACAAGTAGCTCTTGTTTTCGGCACACCATAATTCCCAAAACTAATACTTCTTGAGTTGTTGCCCTGCACCAAGCACTGGACTCACCCAGTGCGCGTTTACAGTCACTGTCTCCTGGCTGGGCTTGTAACTGTCTGTCCTCCTTTTAAAGCTAGGTAAACTCAGGACGGAGAGTAAGTCCACAGTGTCACTCACGGATAGATGCAATATCCTGGAGACAATGAGCTTAACACAGTCACCACGGGGCCCCCGTGACGACAGTCCCTTCAGAAAGCTCGGGACACTCCACAGAACCGTCCCATGACACCCGCTGCGACAGTCACTTATAGAGGGCAGGAACACATTTAAATGTCAGAATGAAGGTCTCTCGAATTAGCTCAAATTGATGAAAATATTTGGCACTGCTTTCAAAGAGAAGTGAAGCCTCCACAGAATACCTCCGCAGGCAAAGGCTAAAGAGAAGCGAGGAAAATGTGAGTGGCTTGCTGCACAACCGCATCTTAGTCTTAGTTCGAGAGTCTGCCTTGCAAAGGGAAGGCCCAGTATCAAGAGCAATGCGCAAAGCCAGAACAGATGCACACAGGGAGAAGAGGAGGCCGTCTGCCGCATGGAAGTCCCAGCTTCACCCATGAGGAGGAACCTCATGCGCAGGAGGTCACCCAGAGCCCTTCCCCACTCCTCGGTGGCTCACCTTGCTTTAGATTTGGCGAGGGTAGGCACTGGGCCGAGCACGGAGGAGAGGGCACTGACTTCCACGCCCAGGGCTGAGAGCTGAGAGAGAGCCAAGAGCAAGGACTGCAGCATCACCCGGGAGGGCTGAGGAGCGGGCCAGGAGAGGCCAAGAGAGGCTCAAAAGGGCTCGGAGGGACAGGGACCAGAGAGGCAGGGCGAGGCCGACAGCAGGGGACGCCGTGGTGCAGGGCAGGTGCCCAGGAGGAAGGGTGGCAGGAAAGACCAGGAAGGCCCCGAGGGGCACTGTGCACTTTCCTGAGATGTTCAAACAAATGTTCCAAGTGTGACTCGGTGTCTGGTTATTTCTGATAAAATATAAAAGAGAACAAATAGATTGAAGGCAGTATGTAAAAATGGAACCAGGATTTTATGATTTAGGAAATTCTGTGTACAGACATCGGTTAAAGTCAGAATTCTATTCCCACAGCTAGGTCATTAAATGAATTAGTTGCTAAATGAGAAATTCTATGTAGTGCATACAATATTCAGAACAAAGAAACAGTCAGAGGATACTCCAGCTTGATGGTTTTGCTATTTGCATGACTGTTTTCTCTGTGTGTTTTTGTTTGTTTGGTTTGCTTTGGTTTTTTGAGACAGGATCTTGCCTATATCATTCAGGTTGGCCTTAAACTCATGGAGATCCTCCTGCCTCAGCCTCCCGATTGTGCATAAGTCTTACATACAATACTGTAATGTATAACAGAACATACACTAGTGTTCCATACAGTGCAATCAGCAAAAATTACAGTACTGTATAAAGTGTACTGTACCAAAAAAGACATTGAGGCTCTAGCAACAAGATATAGGGAACTGTAGGAGAAAAAAAGGCAGGTCATCCATCTGACACTGGGTTGTAATTCTGAAGGCACTGAAGAGAAAGGTCACTAAGGGAAGAATGTCTGTATTCTGATTGTAAAACACGCTGAAGTTAATGATATTGCCAGGTATTCTTCTTTTTAAAAATTCAATTTTTATAAGAATTAAATTGTGATTAAACAGCGAAATGCATCATCATCATTTTTAAATGCATTACAGTGTTTGATCACACAGAGGGATGAGGTATGTGACTCACGGTGTCTTCAGACCGTCTCAGCAGAAGCCAGAAGCAGCTGGCGTTATTAAGGGGAGACCTGCGGAGGAGTTACTCCTCTAACAGTGTGAACCCTGGTTACTCACAAGGCTCCTAAGACTTGAATTAAGAAATGCTGATTAAACTGGACTAAAGGGACAGAGAGGAAGAAAGGAAAGGCTGTTCAGTTCCTGAGACTCTACTGGCAGGAACAGGCTGATGAAACCAGTGAGACAAGGGCTGTGCTGTTAAAAAAAAAAAGATGATTCAGAGAGCGGAGCTGTAGAGAGCAGACAGAAACCACCCAACAGTCATTCCCAGGCTCTGAAAGCCGGTGAAGTCCACCCAGGTGGACTTGGAAAGGATGTTGCTTGTGACTCCTGTCTTTTGTTTTCTCCTTTTGAATGAGATTTTCTATTGTTATCCCACACCTGTGTCCCTGTTTTGGAGTGCAGGGCTTGATGTCTCATCCTCCACATCTGCAGCTAATAGTTTTGCTCCAGAATGGAGTGGACAGACAGCCAAACCCACATCTGATCACGGTGATTTATGTATGAGCTTTGTGTCTTTTGAGCTGAGACTTAGGTGAGATTTCGGATGAGCTGATGCCATCATTGTCGAAAAGTTTGGGGGACTGTGGGATGACTGAATGCATTTATCCTGTGGGACAAATGTCTCTGGGAGCCAGAAGGTTGACATGACAGGCTGAATAATTCACTCTCCTCACACACACACACATACCCTCAAGATGTCTACATCCTAATCTTTGAGGGCTGTGAATGTAAGAAAATAGTAAGAGATTATGCTGAAGCAACACATACGCAGATTCAAAACCTCTGAGTTGGACATAATTTATTAATCACAGCAAAAAGTAGCAGTGAGCATCACTGGGTCACTTCCGTCATGCTCTGTCCCCAGATGATTCAAGGGTCAGATGTTACCCCTGCATACAGCAGGCCATACTTGGAAAATGTGCCCCAATTTTTAAAGACTTGGTTGGGGTTTTCTTGTTATTGTTGTTTTGTTTTCGTTTTGAGACAGGATCTCAAAAACGTGATTACCCACGCTGGCCTCAAACTGTGATCCTCCTAGTTCAGCCTCCCAAGTACCAGTGCTGGGATTAGAGGCAGGCACCACCACACCTGGCGGCCCTTCTGTTTTTATAGAGCATTCATTCCGGGCTGTCAGGGTGACAGAGACAGTAATCAAAGCATAAAATGACTAGAGCGTGTACTGCAAAGAAAACAGAATAGAGAACTTAATTTACCTTAAAGAGATTAAGAAAGACTTCTCTAGGAAAGTAACATTTAATTTAACCTTAAACTCTAAAATAGTTGACAGTCTTTTAGCACTTCACTTTTAACACTTCACTCAGTTCTCCTGTGTTTAAACCCTTAGACAAAAAGCTAGAGACCCTATAATGGTCTACAAAGTCTTCCATGATTTAGTCCCCCAAAACGTCTCTGAACTCTCTTCTTATTACTATTTATTTTTACTTATTTTGAGGCAGGGTCTTGCTATGTAGTTCAGCCAGGCATCAAACTTAGAGCAACTCTCTTGCCTCAGTCTCCTGAGTGCTGGGATTACAGGTCTTCACCACCACACCTGGCACTACTGATTTATAGTACTTACTATCTTCTAAAGATTTTAAAGTTTATTACATCTGTGTCTCTCCCCTTACCAAGACATAAACTCCACCAGAAGATAATATTTTTTCTTCACATTTGTATCCCAAATATTTCTAGAATTCCTGACTTCCAACTGATTTTTTTGTTCAATGAACATAAAGTCATTCAATTTCACTAATATTTAAATATAACAAAGGTATCATACGCAATGTTATATTAAGATGTAAATATAGCAGAAAATATTACAAAGTAACATTACAAAATAAGAAGAGAAAGCTAAGGAAGAGTTTATTTAATAAGTGGAGTATGCTTGCCTGTTCATCAATTCATCCCAGTCTGGAACACAAGAAGATAATGCTACTCACACATCTGCTGCACCATTCAATCCATTTCTTTAATTTCAATGGGATTAAGATGGAAAACCGCAGTTCACACCAACTACTTGCTGTGAATGGCCAAGATAATCTATGTAGAAAGAAAAATCTTCCTTCACCTTAATCCGAAATGCTGATAATTTTTCATAGTCCTTCTTCAATGTTTATGAGGAACTGAGCTGTGGTAATTCAGTCTCTTCTTCAGATAGTAAGTTTAACTCAATAGTCGGTTCAGGGCTTTGAAAAGCAAAGGGATCTTTTACCCAATTGTTTTCCTTTAATGTTTCAAATTTCTCTTTTGGAAAAAACATGGTTAAAAGTTTGAGACAGAGAAGCCAGACGCAACATCATCTCTGATTTCCTTGCTTTCAAATGTCTTTACTAATAATATTCTTCCAACATGTTGCAAACCCTCAGAAACAGATAGCAGCTAAGCCCACTACTCTTAAGCCTTGCTTGCCATAACCATGTATTTTGGAATACTTGAACATGTTCGGGATGGAAATATCACTGTCTTTCCCCTGGAGTTCTAAACTCAGATCATTATGAATGCCAACAAATCAGTTAAATTTACCAGTGTCATCTTAAATATCATTCTTAAAAATATTTGCCAAATGAGATTTTTTTTATATATATTGGAGATTGAACTCACAACCTTGTGCTTGCCAGGCAGGTGTTTATGTCACTGAGCTAAATCCTCGGCCCGATATCTTTTCTCCAGTGAGGAATATGTGAACCTCATTTTTGAGTTCATAAACCCTGCCATAGTATTTTTCCTTGAGACAAACAGCAAACTTTGACATGATATAATAAATGGGCATAATTACTTCCCATTTCTGAACAAAATATTTTAAGAAGTTGGCTATTCAATGAGCCTTCTTTAAAAAGATTAACAACTCTTTCCACATTTTTCAATACTTATAGGAGACTGGAGTTTCTCTGGAAGCTAATACTTCACAATGTATAAAACAATGATTGTGCACAGCACCATTAGTAACTTCTAGCAATTTTTAAATTACTCTGCTATGTTTTTCCAACTATGCTTCCTGTTCCATCACTTGTAAATTGCTTTACAATGTTTTCAATTTAGTTTATACTGACCAACAATGTGCTTTTCTAATTCTATAAAGACATATATTGCACTTAGATGAGAGGTTAAATTTTAAAATAAAATCATCTTGCTATGCATACCTCACATTAATGGTCTCCTGCAACTTGCAGTATCAGTGATTTCATTGAGCTGGATTGTAAAACCTATACCTGTGTAACCTACTAAGAAGCATTACTTCTAAATGTTGTGAAATACTACAGATTTGGAAATGCTGTATTATCACTGAGTTTTTATTAGGTCACATCATCAAAAATTATATGCATCACATCCAAACATGCTGGATGATTTTTCAGCAGCTGTGTGAGTTACTCTGTCTTTTGCCACATGACATGCAACTAAATACGATGGAATTAAGGGGTGTTTTTTTGTTTTTTGTTTTTTGTTTTTTTACTAACAGAACCACTAAGAAACTGTTGATGATTTTTTTCTTTGAAAATACTGAAGAGATATACTTACCTGGCAGGGGAGATACCATGATCACGAAAATACTGAAGAGATAAGTTCAGCATGTTGAGTTCCTAAGTGCCTTTTTAATTTTGAAGGTTTAAGCTTTCATTTGCAAAATTACAAATCACACACCAAGGTCTATCATCTTCAAAGGATTTTTCACATTTGATAAAGCCGTATTTTAAGGAATCTTCATTATTACTCTACTTGTACTCTACTTTTCTGGTACTGGGGATTTAACTTACGACCTTGCACTTGCCAGGCAGGCACCTGTGCCACTAAGCTAACTCCTCAACCCCAGCTTTTTTCTTTATGATATGTGGCTCAAATATTGCTAATGTTGGAAGAGTAAATATTTTTCTCAGTATTGTCAACATTCACACTTCCAGATCCAACAGTTGAACATTTCTGTATATTTCATTTCATTATTCCTCTTAGTATAGAAATAATCCATTTTAATAGTTATTTATTCATTTGAGTAAATGACTACCACTAACACAAAAGGAGGGCAATCTAGATAACATCTCCAAAAATGTACTCAAAGTTTGCAAGTGAACCTCAACTGAGTATCTGACTTCCTATCTGATTGCAAGTCATGGTAATACAAAACTATACTTTATATTAACTTCACTACATGAAAACTGAATGACATCAATAGGCAAATAATGGAAGACCATGTTACATTTTATTTATTATATTGCTTTCATCAGAATACTTTTCTTGTATGTTGAAATGGACCTCAATATTTCTTGCAATGTATAAAATTCAGCCAAAGGATCTATGTGAAACATTCTGATATTATACACCATAGTTTTTAAAAGTTCTCTGAGACTTACAGAACTGATTTCATGACTCATTCATGGATCATACACACTGTATGCCCTCTCCTGTGTTGGTGGCTTGAGTGTACCTACCTGATGATGAAAAAAATCAACTGATTTGCTAAATACTGTTGACTTGAATAGGAATCGCAGACTTTCACTTGTGATACTTTTGGATGGGAAGAGTTAGGAGTGTCAATTATGGACAGATCTACTGAGGATCCAACAAGGATTTTCCATGGTTAGGTCAATTATCAGGCTAGAACTGATGGCAAATTTTCACAAAACTTTCTTGAATGTATTCTTGACCTGGGACTAGGACCAGAGACATGACATTAAAGCATCACAATACATAGTAGTATATTATCACCAGCCATGAGGATCTTTATATCATCTCATTTCATGGGGGGCAGATCACAAGGCTTATTGTGTTCTCATCCATATCTTGCAGGTATGTCCAACTAGCAGTTCCTGGGTTAGACACATCTACATGATTTGTCTATTTCTTTAAGACAAATCACATCACATTAATAAATAGAAAAAATATGACATTAAAACCTGGAAGTCAGCACCAAGAACTGCAGAGTATATTATTAGCAAAGTCTCTGTAGCAAGTCACGGAGGAATGCAGCTCATTTACCATAAACACTGCCTTGGTTTGGCCACGACTCTCAGTCAGGTGTGTTTTACAAGTAATTACATCCTGCTCTCTCTGATTATAGTGTTTTGAGATCCCATTGTTACCATAACAGTGTTTCGTCCCTTCCTTATATGTCTTCCCATCAAGTTATCTCAGTTGAGGGCGGGTAGTTATTAGGAGTTGACATGTGTTAACTATGTAATATTTTTATTAGGACATTTTTTTCCATTTTCTGTATTCTTGATGCTCTGACACGAGTGGGGCCCTGTTGACTGGCAGGGGCACCACCTGTCCAGGGGTTGGCTCCCTCTATATACCTACCTTTTGGCTCTGACATTCCTAGTCAGTACTTCTTTGACCTAATCATCTCAGCATCAGGGACTAGATAACTAAGGATAACCCCTTATGCCCCAATCCAGCTAAAATGACTCAAACTACCTAATCCTTAAACCTCCTTAAGACTTCTTTTCTGCCTTTTCTTCCCAGAGCTAAATAATACCTGCTCACAGTGACCACTGCGCTTCCTCAGTTTCCTTGATGACCCTCATGCTTTCTGGCATGGAGCCTCTGGAGGGCATGGGTACTGTGCTATTATTGCTATGGCTCTAAGAATACGAAACATATTCATGACAGTCATTTTCATCTCTGCAGGTTTTTCCTCCACCTCACTGAAACAAATCTCAGGTATGTTTCAAAATGCTGTCATTTAATCCTCACTGCTCAAAGTTATATAGCCTGGCCCTAACCTTCTTTTCCCTATACTGTTAATGATTTTTTAGCATAAATTCTGTAGACCATGAGGTTTTCTATAATATTAAGTGCTTTAACTATGTTTAAACAGATAGAGATCTTAGTGTGTATATGGCACCTAGCTGCGCACTGAAAGACATGAATAAGGGAGAGAATTCAGGATGTGGTAGATGCCTTTGATTTACTTAGATACTTACAAGATGACATGTTCCAAATACTTAACCTTGGTCTGAGAACCAAAGTTTTTCTTTGGAGTTTTTAAGTCTTCTATCTGCCAAGAAACATCAGAAGGACTAGAGGCAGATGCCTCTTCAGTGTCAGAGAAGAGTATGTGTCATCAATATTTTAGGCCAGAACTATATGGGAAAGCAACCTTATCTAGAGCTTTCTAATGAAAAGTTTGAAAGCAATTCTCACATCCTTGAGACAGTACAAATGGGATATATAGCAGTTGTTAGCAAGTGAATTACTAAATCTCTTCCTTTCATAAATAAAAGTTCCAATAAACTCAGCTATCAGTTCTTCCCCTTACCAAGTAATCTTCCACCACTACAATTTTGTCTGCCACCTCTCCCTATGTTTTACTGATAATTACTTTACATTGCTCAAGATTTTGTTAAAACATGTAATAAAGTCTTCTCCACCACCCCCTCTTCTTTCTTTACTTGTATCTCTGCCAGGAGCCTAAAAAGAAAGCCAAAGGAATTTGAGGAGTAAGTTTAAACCTAAAATTCTGGCATAACCATAAGTTCTGGACCTTAATTTAAACAAAAGTATATTATTAGAACTCAGAATAAGTTAGCATACACATACCAAAATGCAACCAAGTACAGTGTGTTGTATAACTCAGATGAGTTCTGCTAGGACAGGTCCCTTCACAGCAAAACTTCACAATCATAAATATGTGCACTGATGCTTAAGATGTGGGTATAGAGGTTGAGGGTTATGGATGTACGACCACATTTCAGTGGGATAATGCTCTTTATTCAGCTATCTATGTAGTTAACCAGTCTTTAGGAGAGAATTCCAACTAAGGTCATCAAACACTTGTAACTGAAAGTTTCTTGTATAGTAAGGTACATTAACATGCTCATGTGATAGTTTGAGGTTTATGATTTCCCACAAGTGAATCTTTTTATCTACCTGATCCTCAAATAGTGCTTGCACATGGTAGGTACTCAATAAATGTATTTGAAAAAAAATGAGAATATCAGTAAGACCTATAGTACTCTTGAAGAACACCGTGTAAAATAACAACCCTAGTTATGTTCCTACCATCTTGTTTTGAAGGTCTATATCATCATTGTTTTGGGCTCTTTCCTATCATTATTTGTCTTTTTTGTTTCCTGTTTTCCTAGTAATTTGGTTTTGGTTTGTTTTTCAATAAATGTATTTGAAAAAAATGAGAGTATCAGTAAGACCTATATGTATATGGTACCATATACATTCTTTTTACCATGATCAGCATAAAAAGTTTGGATAGAAATGCACCCCAAAGGACGGTATATCAAATTTATCCCTAATGCAGCAATGTTCAGACGTGCCTGGATCATAGGTGTCCTAATATCATCGATGGATTAATCCACTGCTTCAGAATCGGAGAGATGATTAAGATGTGGTAGAACTGTAAAAGGTGGGGCCTAGCTGGAAGTAGGCCACTGGGGCCATTACTCAGAGGAAGACCTTGCCTCCTGCCCCACCCCTCATTCTTGGCTGCCACGTCCTTCTGCCATGATGTTACTGCCTCACCACAGGCCTACAGCCGTGAAGTCAGCCCACCTTGGACTGAAACTTCTGAAACTGTGAGCCTAAGTAAACCTTTTCTCCTTCAAGCTACAATTCTTAGGTATTTTGTCACAGCCACAGAAAGCTAATACAATCAGTGAAAAGCACAAGACAGTATTTCTACAACTTGGTAACATGTAAGAAAAGACTTACATACCTCTAAAATAGGACAATGCATACCCTCTTTCAAAATAAATTCCTTATAAGATTAAGTGGTAGAAACGGTGGTCCTACAGAAACATATATAAACTTGATTTATCATACGAAACTTATGAAAACAAACATGCAAAAACCAGTATCTCATTTATACTGCAAGTATGGGCTTTTTATTACTTTAGACAGAAAACTGTTCTAATCCATTTTATGCTTTCATATTTTTATTATTTTCTTTTCTTTGGCATCAGGAATCAAACTCAGAACCTTGCGCTTGCCAGGCAAGGCATTTGTGCTGTTGAGCTATTACTGTAGCTATTTTTACTATTCTCATTTCAATTCAGTCCCTCTTGACAGTTTATAATTGGTTATGTTTCAATTAGTTATATTTAAAAACATTCTTGTAAGGCTTAATATTTCTCTTAAATCAGATCATTCACCTACAAATGAGAAAGGTATATGTTACGACTTATGTCCAGGTGTCCCCCCAAAGCCTCATATAGTTATAGATGGGCCTTTTCCAAAGGTGGCTGGATCTATAATGTGTGATGCTAGGATTAAGGGTGTGTGATCACTAAATCAGTCCACTGATTGATCGGGCACCACCCAAACCCAGTAGCCTGATCCCAGTAGCCCAGATACAATATAAAACGGGAAGAAAGGTGCTGTTAAGATCCCTTGCTTGCTTGCTTGCTTTTGCTGACTTCTAAGCCATGAAGTGCTTCTCCTCTGCAATGCCTCTCTGCCCTGTGTTGGAGCCAGCTGATTGCAGATTGAAACCTCTACACACTGAGCTAAATAAACCTTTTCCCCTTTAACTTGGGTGTTAGGTATTTTGTCTCAGCAATGAGAAAAGTAACCAAGACAGTGTATAAAGGTAAGGATCGCATAGATATGATATAAAACTATGGAAATGCACTTTTAAGTTATAATAGGATGAAAGGTGCCATCTAAGTGGGAGGCAGAAACAGAAAATGTTGCAAGTTTGACCAAATAAACTATGAAATAACAAGAAAGTTTAACTGAGTGGACTAGGAAAATGTTTTAGGATTCTAAGTGAATCTGCTCAGCTGCCTTACATGCCTAATGCAATGATCATCACTGTTATAGGTAGTCTTTAATTCCCTGACACTAATCTTGCACATGCTAAAATCTAGCTCCAAGGTACTATAAATATCATTTAAAAACATCATCAAAAAATCTGATCAGAGCCCGTGTAACTCAAAACCTTGTAATAGCTCTTAGCTTGTGGAAATGCCCCAGAATAATATCCTTTATTTCCCTTATCTTTCTGGGTTTCTCTTTTATCACATTACCTCCATATATTCTGTATTTTCAGCTCTCAAACTATGGAACTTTCTGCAATATTTTATGCCTCCTCTGTTTTTGTTCTACTATTTCTTTCGGCCAAATCTTTAGGCCAAATACTTTGCTTGCCTTCTGACATTTGAAAATCCTCTTCATTTAGAAGGATTTAACTCAAATGCTATACCACTCATCTAATCGACTAACAGTTAAATATCTAAACTTCTGAACACTGGGGATACAAAACAAGACATATTTATATAATAATATAAAAGAATACCTGTTGAGCTATTACGATAAGTCAGAGCTATATAACAATGAAAAATCATAACATTAAGTCAACAACGTAGCTGCAAACTGTATTACTGATTGTTAAAATTATGCAAAACAGTACTGCATAGAATTGTAACATGGAGGTGCTTGGGGGAGTGGCAAGAGGCTCACGCGGGACACAACAGAAAGGGGTAGAGCTGAAAAAGAACTTAAGTCACTTAAATAACCATTTATTTCTCCACCTGTGTGGGAAGTACAGAAAACGTTTTTTCCCTTTTTTCTAACAGTTTGCTAGTCTACTTTTAAAAAGCATTTATAAGGGTCGCTGAGTTCTTGAAGACACTGCAAACTTGCCACAAACTATGAATTTAAAATTGCATCCATCTCCTAACTCCCCTTTGTTTCTTGTATTGTCAGTATGCACGCTGTACTGCAGGAGGCCTTAAAGGCAGGAATTCCAGAACCCTGTTTTCGGTGTATTACAACGTGATCCTCTTACCCAGAGATCACTCGGTCCCCTACAGTCCTAAAAGGATGCAACTAGGATTTAAGGAGCCCATGCCTCACGCGACCCTAGACTGTATTTCCTCATCTCCCATGGCTGCCTTCATTGTCCACTGTGACTTCAATTCGCCCCTTCTGCAAAACCAGAACTTGTCTATCCACAATCAACCCTGGAAAGTCTCGCCTTAGCGAACTCCCGTCTACTCCCTTCAGTGGCCGCCTTTCTTCCTTCCCGACCCCACTTCCGGCCTGACATGGAAAGCCCCACCTCCCCCTGGAAGGGGCCGGTAGCGACATTCTACGCATGCGCGAATCCAGGGCGGTAGGTGGATACGCTTTTAAACGCCTCGGTCCGCAAAGTTCTCGCGATGTTTCCTACTGCCGCAGGATTTACTTCAACAAATTGGCGGTAACCAGGTCCCTGTGGCTCTGGCATTCGCACTGGGAAGACTGCAGGGAGCGCTCTGGTATCCACGCTGGAAAGGCTGTGGGTAGCTGGTGCAGGGACTGCCGGCCACCTGCACCCGAGTACTGGCAGGCCTCGTCCCGGCGCCGGCTGCGCGCCCCCCGAGGCGTGCATGGCCTGTGTAGGAGCTCAGTACAAGATACCATTAGCCGGGTTTACTGAGAGCACTGAATTATCTTTAAAAGTCACTCTAGTCCAGTGTGCCAGTCATTGCGTTAAGTGCATCTCGGTTTAACATTCAACAATCTTGTTGATTTAAAATCTTATTTTAATTTTTAAAAAGACCCAAAAAGGTTAAGTTACAGAATCGTGAATTTCAGCTCGGAGACTTGCCGCAACTTGGTCCACATTGCTTTTCTTCAAGCAAGTAATTTCATTACGGGGGAAACTGCTTGCCTAGATTTTTAAATTTTGTTCTACATCTCTCCAGGCTGTATTTGGTGAAGAGGAACAGCTTCCAGTGCTCTGCATCTTACCTGGCATACATGAACTCTGGGAAATGAATTTTTCCTTCAGCAAGAAGGCCTACTGCCACAGCACCACAAAGATATCTGAGCTTCTCTGTGTCGTAATTCATGACTGGCACAGCACAAAGGATGAAAGATTACTGAGTCAATGTCCAGTTCAAACTCCAAGACGGCCCAGAGGGACTGTCCTTATCAGGGACCTCTCATTGTGAAAGAGTCTCATAAAAACAGCTCTGAGCTTTCTTTATGAATAAAAAGCTTTTGTGGCTTTTTATTGATAGAAGGACAGGGGAAGGTCGGAGTGGTCTGTACATGGCTGACCTTAGGGCCAATCTAAGTGATAAATTGGAGTATGGGGAGGAGAGGATCAAAGCATTTATTCCTTCATGGCAATGTGTTTTGCTCTTACTTGAACTTGGTGGCCCTGTGGGCTATCTTTGTGTCTAACCATGCATTCCAAGAGACTGGGCGTGTGACTCTGGAAGTCCATAGTCTCTGATACCATTTCATATATACCTCTGGCCAACACCCTCTCGTATCTAGATGAGAATTTTCAAGGACACTGGCTTGGAGTTGATTTTCATTACAATATAATTTTCTTTTATTTTTTCCCCCAGACAGAGCCTCACTATATAGTCCGGGTGGCTTTGAACTCACTGCTGTAGGTAGCTCAGGCTAGCTAGCCTCAGACTCAAGCCATCCCCCTGCCTCAGCTTCCCAAGTACTGGGTTTACAAGTTACTACACCCAGCTTACACTAATAAATTTTTAGTGATTTGGTAACTAGCCCAGTGGTTGTATACCTGCCTAGCAGGCATGAAGCTTGGGTTGTATCCTCAGCACTGGGAAAAAAAAAATGTGAACATATCTGTAATCCCAGCTACTTCAGAGGCTCAAGAGGTTTGCAGGTTCAAGGCCAGTTCAAGTGAGTCAGCAGAACCCTGTCTCAGAATTTAAAAACTCAAAATATAGCATATGGTAAAGAGCCCCCAAATTTGATAATCTGTACCATAATACGTGAATGACTATGGCAGGGGACGGAACCCAGTGTGGAGTGTTTTTCTAGAATACACAAACCTCCAGGTTCAGTTCCCAGTTTAAAAAAAAATTTTTTTTTAGTTTCAGTATTTTGAAGAGTCAGGTTATTGCTTGCTTGGGACAAAGCTTTAACCAATGTACTATGGAAGTCCGTATATATGAATAAAAAGTGAAGCAAGCAACATAATTTGAGAACGTTTATTACTTCCATTTCACTGAATATGAAAAGGTAATAAAAATGAGTAACATTTCAAGTATTTTGACTTTATTCTTTTTTTTAAAGAAGTGGTAAATTAAGGTCTCATTTGTTTTATTAATAGAACTTTTTTTGAGACAAAGTCATGCTATGTCAACTTATTCTTGAAGGTATTCTGGAAATTATGTCCATTTTTATTATCACTTATAGTAGGCATATATATTAAAATTTTTCTAGATTCATAAACTATTAAGGTTTATCTACTGTAGACAAAATACAGCTAAGATTTTTTAAAAATGCAAAAATATTTATGTTGTATGAAGTTAACTTTAAATATTTTTATAGTATAAGATAGTATTATAGTTAGAAGTTAATTGTCTTAGTATAGTAGTACCTGCCACCAGCCTGAACTACATACAAAGATCATGTCTCAAAGTGCAAACAAGAAAGTAACAACAAAATAACCCCATAATTTACTAGGTAATGCCAGCTGTCATTTAAAAAAAGAAAAAAAAAAAGACCCGAGTTTCAGATAAATATATTTAAATGAGTGCTGTCCTTTGTTTGTTTGTTTGTTTGTTGTTGTTGTTTGAGACAGGGTCTTACTGCATATTCTAGGCTGACCTTGAACTTACTGTGTAGCCCATGCTGGCCTTGAACTCGCAGTGATACTTCTGCCTCAGCCTCCTAAGTGCTAGGATTTCATGCATGTTACACTAAAGGTTTCAGTGGTTTATCACTCGTAAATGTTTTGGATCATTAGTGACTAGTTTTTTAGGTTTTTCTTGGTTATATATATATATATATATATATATGAAGCGAAGCACTATTCAACAAAGCTCCAAGGTCCGCACCAAGGTCAGTCAGCATGACTGCATTAAATGGTTAATCTGCCAGCTGCAGGACTATGTTGTAAACAGGAAAGCAAACAGGTACAATGCAGGAAGTGGGAGAGCTAGCATAAGCCACACACAAGCGCAGGTGCTCTCCCCCATCTAGATTTGGAGATTCCATTATTCACTGTACAGTGGAGGTATGGTGTCTCCGCCAGGACCCAGCCTTCAGTGTGTGATGATGACAGCAGACAAATCTCCCAGACTGCTGGTGTCCCATCCCGTCTGGAGAATTATTCACTCAGTAAACACATAAAAGTTTCAGAGAGGGAAGGCCCACAGAGGTGGCTGCAGCCAGCACTCATTCCAGATGCTGTTGTCCTTAGGCCTGCATCGGGTGACAAACATGACCCCAGTCACCTTATCCACCCTAAGAAGTGCGGTTCCACACCAGCATGCCTCCTAGAAGCTGAGAATATCAGCAAACAGATCCCTGGACTGTGAGCACTGATCCCTACACACGTCCAGAATCCTAGCTTTTCTGTGAAACTAGAACTCTGGGGCAGAGAGGCAGGAGGGTGGCCACAGCTCTGGACCCACCCCAGTTGCTGCTGTCTGCAGCACAGATAGAAGGACAGGATTGCAGCCTCTGGTTCAGGGCGCTGGGGCGTTCCAGAACTAAATAGAACTTCAGAGCCTGGGGAAATTTGGGCCCTGTGAGCAGGGATGGGAAGGCGGAGACAAATAACCTGCATGAGGAAGCCTCCAAGCTAGTTCCAGAGCCCACTGAGATCACAGCAGTGTGAGCAAGCCGAGCAGGAAGTTTGGGAGAAGACAGGGGAGTGTTCTGGAAGATTGTGGCTGGTGGAGGACCTGAGCCTGAAACTTCCTAGAGAGAGCAAGTGTCCTGAAACTCAGCGCACTGAGTAGAACAGAGCTAGAGATCAACGGAGGTTTTTCCTTCTGTCTGACCCACCCGGCAGTCTGCACCTACACAGACTTCAGGTCCTCCATCGCTCCCAAAGTATTAGGGGTGCAGCATAAGCGTGTACTCAGTTGCATGTGGGCTTGCATTCTGTTTTAATTTCTGCAGGCATTTGCATGTATCTATTGAGTTCTCTCACTAAGGGTGATTTTTTGAGTCTTCCAACACTGGGTTTCTGCAGGCAGAGATAGCTATTTATTAGGTCCAATATACATAAAATTGCTCACTTTTCAGTTATGCTTTTTCCTTCCTTTTTTATTTTTTCTGCCTTCCCATTAACCTCTCAGACCTTCTCTCCTTCTACCCCCCTTTTCAGGCATAAAAATAATACCATCAAAATCAATTTTCTTGTGTTTCCTTTTTTGTTTTTATTTTATATCTTATTAACTTTTTCCTCCTTCTAGTTCCCAGACAATTTGTCACCACTATTCTTTCATCTTCCTGGGTTGTTGACGAAAATTTTAAATAGGTTTTAAGTAAAGTGTTGACATATGGTTGCTGCTTTGCAGTTGTTATTACAGGAAATAGTTCTGTGATTATGAAGGCAGTGACAAGGACTGAACCCAGCACAGTATTACCTCAGTTCATCAACAGAAACACTCAGCAAAATTTTGCTTCCATTCACACACACTGCATCGGGTGACAAATGACCCCAGTCACCTTCCCCCCTCTAAGAAGTGGTTGTGGCTTCCTCTTGTTCAGATCGAGGTCACAGACCCATGCACACTTACTGTGAAGCTTTTTAGTACGCACAATACTATACAGTGTTATTCAGTCCAGCTTGCCTCCAAAGAAAGGGCAATGAAGGTGGTAAGAATGTGCAGAGCAAGAAAAATAAGAATGATAATCATTGCATAGAAGAAAAAAATTGCAGAAAAGCACAGCGTGGTGTTCATGTAGCTGATCTGGCCTCAGCAGACAAACTGGTGAAGCTGACAGTCTCAAAATCTGTTTTGAAGGCATCACAGGAGCCATCTGCATAGCAAAAGGAATAACGATGTTAACCAAGCAGCAGACACAAGTGCTGAAGAGTGGAAAGATTTTTGTCAGTGTAGTTGGATGAGAAACAGCTGGCAGGGACAGCATTAGTGAAGCTGTGATCTGTGAAAAGACCAGGAAACGACAAAAAGATTTAACACAAGAAAATGCTCCACGCGCAACAAGTGATAAATTTAAAGCCAGTAGAGGGTGTTTTGCTAAATTCTGCAAGAGAAGTGATGTCTACAGTGTGCTAAGATGTGATGAAGATTCTAGTTCTCACAAGGCTGCAAATAAGAGAACTTTTACAAGGCTATTGTAAACGTTTATGAAGCAAAAAAAGAAAATGATAAAACAGACCATTTCTACCTTGTCATCTCCCCAACCTGGGCCTTTTTTACCTCCTGATCATAGTTCTGACGATGACACTGATGAGAACTTTGAAGGATTTGATAACCAAAATGTTAGCTTGAATATTTTTTGTACAGTTCTTTACATCTTGTGTATATGCTCATGGCTTCTTTCTGTATAACACAGCTTATTTCTCTGTTTCTTGGGATTTTTTAATTTTTGTTTTCCTTGGGATTTTCTTTTGTTTTATTTTTGAGACAAGGTCTAGCTTTGTAGGTCAGGCAGGCTTTGAACTCAGTGTGTAGCCCAGGATGGCCTTGAACTCATAGTGATCCTCTTGCTCAAACTCCCCAGTGCTGGGATTACAGGCATGTGCACCATACCAAGCCAGGACATCTTGTTGATACAGTGCTGTAAGTTTTGATGATTGTACCATATGATATAGCACTGTAGTTTTGTGTCGTTTTTTACATTCCACTACTGCATGTAAGAGTTATGCAAATAACAGTAAAGGCATCGAGTTGGAGTTTCCTTTGGCCATTCCTTGTTCTGAATATTGTAATTTACATGCCATGTATAAGTCCTCATTTAACAACCAATTCATCTGATGACATTGCCACAGGCCCGTAACTGGGTCCTTAAATGAGGAAGGTCTGTTTGGGACAAGGCCCGGAGTGCCATTTTCCATAGACAAACAGCTAATTTAACAGAAGGGGAGCTCTTTCACACCTTCTACCCGTTTACAATTTTGTGTGAATTATGTTTACGTCATCTAATGGTGTTTGTAAGAGTTAAGGTTAGTCAGGATGTCATTTCTGCCCCTCCGGAGGTTCTGACTGGGAAGACAGGGTATAGTAATGTCTCAGCTC